ATTTAATTTTCTTACTAATTTTATTTTTTTTCACGGGCAACGCCGGGAACTTTTATGATATTTCACGGGCAAGGGAAAATATGTATGATCGATCTGAATAATAATAGATTTATTGTCCTCGTCAATATTATTCAGAATATCTTTATTTTAATTATTTAATTTTGTTAAAATTTAATTATTTTAATTATATTTAATTATATTTAATTATGTATTGTCTCCTAGTCCTTTACTTTCTGTAGTATTGGGTCTAATAAAAGAAATCCTTGAATTCATAAATTAAATAATCATTTGGAATCCTATTATTCTTCTATTTGGAAGCTTAAAGGGACTGTTAACGTAATTTCAAGCCAGTGCACTGCCACCTACAGAGTTACATGCTCGATTTCACAACGTTACCCTTTAAACATTTATCTGGACCAAATTTAATGAATTTGAGCTAGGTCACTGAAATACCCACAGCTGGTTCAAATTTGAACCAGCGATTCAAAGTTAAAGATTAAGAAAGGATTTTAATCGGTATGATTCAAATTTGAACCGACGGTAGGCACTTCAAATGTTTTCTGTTTTCTCTTCAGCATAAATCCGAGCCTCCCCTCAATTTAAAAATAAACCATACTTGAAATTGATCGTTTCTTCATGAAAAAAAACATTAACTCGTCGCCATATTATATTATCTTCGTCAACCACCAAACCTAGCTATCGAATGATCGTTTTAGGTACTTTATCCTTTGCTTTCTCTGAGAAGTTTTTCATGCCTGGTTTATTGGATCCATAATTTACCAGATTCTTAATTTAAAATAGAACCATGGGATTTAGATATGTTTTGCAGTAACCCGTCTACGGGTGGATTATGCAGAAACCTTGTACAAAAGTAGAAAATATTTATTTAATATATTTGCTTAAAAACAGGGAACCGCTGTGAATCGGGCTGTTTAAATGGAGGGATCCACCGGAATTTTAGTTGATTATCATATTGAACACGCAAATTCTAAAACCTAAAATTCTAAAGTTTTTAATAAATGAAATAACCGACCTTTAAACGGTTAAACTCTTGTTTACTTCGCTAGTAGCTGGTGGTTCGTACACTATGAGATATATTAGGGTGCAAGGCGCAACGAATTTCTGTAAACTATCTATAAAACCATATGTTTATATAAGTGGCAAGAATGCAGTAAACGTGCAGCATCATTAATTGTTAAGGAACTGCAGGAGAGAAGATTTATATACTTCCTCCTCATAAGCTTACAATAGCTGACGAAGATTTATATACTTCCTTCATCAAGCTTATACTAGGACTGTATTAGAGAATATTTATATACTTCCTCCTTCAAGCTTATACTAGGACTGCAGGAGAAAAGATATACTTCCTTCCTCTAGGTTCATGCCAGGACTGCAGGAGAGAGGATTTATATACTTCCTCCTTCAAGCTTATATACTAGGACTGCAGGAGAAAAGATATACTTCCTCCTTCAAGCTTATAGTAGGACTGCAGGAGAGTAGATATACTTCCTCCTTCAAGCTTATATTAGGACTGCAGGAGAGAAGACTTATATACTTCCTTCTTCAAGCTTATAATAGGACTGCAGGAAAGAAGATATACTTCTTCCTTCAAGATTATACTAGGAATATGCAGGAGAGAAGATTTATATACTTCCTCCTTCAAGCTTATATTAGGACTGCAGGAGAGAAGATGTATATACTTCCTTCTTCAAGCTTATACTAGGACTGCAGGAGAAAAGATATACTTCCTCCTTCAAGCTTATACTAGGACTGCAGGAGAAAAGATATACTTTCTCCTTCAAGCTTATACTAGGACTGCAGGAGAGAAGATTTATATACTTCCTCCTTCAAGCTTATACTAGGACTGCAGGAGAGAAGATTTATATACCTCATAAGCTTACACAGGACTGCAGGAGAGAAGATATACTTCCTCCTTCAAGCTTATACTAGGACTGCAGGAGAGAAGATTTATATACTTCCTCCTTCAAGCTTATACTAGGACTGCAGGAGAGAAGATTTATATACTTCCTCCTCATAAGCTTACACAGGACTGCAGGAGAGAAGATATACTTCCTCCTTCAAGCTTATACTAGGACTGCAGGAGAAAAGAGATACTTCTTCCTCTAAGCTTATACTAGGAATGCGGGAGAGAAAATTTATATACTTCCTTCTTCAAGCTTATACTAGGACTGCAGGAGAGAAGATATACTTCCTCTCAGGCTCCGGTGGGATAAAATCGTTTTCAGATTGGTTGCGTATTTGTTGAATATAATCTGTTTAATATTACAACTTTTATTCAAAATCTGATATATATACGTTTTGGACTATGGTATAATTTTCACACAGTTTTATTTAAATTTCTCGAGACAGAAACATCAGATAGATGTCTTATATGTATCGTTCAACGCCTGTAATTCTCAGGTTTTATCCTATACCCCCTTTCATTTTCCCTTTACAGTCCCTTTAAATAAAAAAACGTAACGGTTTATTTTTGTTCGTTAACGTCATCATCCAATATTTTTTTAAACTTTCATTCGTTATATTTCCCATCCCTAGCTCCTAGTTCTGCCAGACGTATTACTCTGTGCAATATTGCAGATCATTGTCATGGTTTGCAACCAGGTGTACAAGGTGTCTCAAATCATATAGGATCATGGATACATTTTCAGCATAGCATAGAGATAATCCAAAATAATATGAAACGCACTGTACTGCACTGTACTGTACTGTACTGCACTGTACTGCACTGTACTACACTGTACTGTACAGTACTGTACTGTACTGCACTGTACAGTATACTTCTCACGTCCATACGGGATTCACTAACTTAGTTTCTCAAACTTGGTTTCATAACAATTGTTTACCCCTCTTTAAAAACAACTTGTGGTCTGAGTAAAATCTATTAAAATAAAGAGATGAGAAATAATAAAATAATGAATCATATACAGAGTAAACTGAGGGGGCATTCAATTGCCAATTTTCTGTTAAATGATTTTTATTTGGATAAAAAATTAGACTTTTCCTTCCTCTTGAAGGGATTATATTCTGCTTCAAAGCAGATTAAATGAGTCATAAAAGAAGTATAACAAGGAGGTTTGGGCTCAACTTCCTATTAGAGGGAGAAATCAAGCTAAAACGCCTTTTTAAATGAGGAGTCCTTACGAGGCATTTCAGTTTTGGGAGGATGGAAATACAGTTCGAAGAGCTATTGATAAATACGAATTGAATTTCTGAATTGTTACCGGATGAATTAATGTTTCTTATACTTGTGCGTAAAATCAATTCTGAAGGAGCTATGAGGTAACAGAGTCATTCCAGTAATGTCGCAAACATTTGACCTTTTCCTTCTGTTCAGTTTAGGTTACAGAGACCTAATACTAGTGACCATTGATTCAAAACCTTTACGCGTTATCTGATCAATTATGATGAAGAAATCCTTGTTTTCTTAGCTTGAAAATCGTTTATTTCCTACATTTTAATCCAATTACGACTGCAGTCCCTTTACGTTCTTGTTTGTCATATCCAATCTATGTAACTATAGACTTTATATAATTCAATATTTTTACTGCTTACTCTTTCTCTGTGCTCAAGACTGGAACACTATATAATATACTCTTTCTCTGTGCTCAAGACTGGAACACTATATAATATACTCTTTCTCTGTGCTCAAAACTGGAACACTATATAATATACTCTTTCGCGTCATAAGCTAAATTTAAGTTACAAATTTAGGAAATACCGAATGCTAAATATTTAACTGACTTTATAAAATAAAATAACAAATAATTATCTCTTTAAAGGGAATGAAAGGAAAAATGAAACCCCTTTCACCCCTGACATCTGAGAATCTAAGGAGTTAAACGATACCTACAAGACATTTATCTGATGTTCCCATGTCTTGAGAAAGTGAAATAAAACTGTCAAAATTACACCAAAACGTATATATGTTAGATATACGTCCGCGTTACGTGACCAAAACTCCCTCCAATGGTTGTGCAGTATGCTGGTCACGTAAAACAGACGGAGACACGTGACAATAATACTGCACTGTCATTGGTTAGAGTTCTGGTGACATTTTCCGGACGCATAAATAATATTATCAATTATATCTATTATAGATCATTAAATTCAAATAATAATAGGAGCAAACTTGAGTTTCTCAGGCTCCTCATGGGATATCGTTGTTTTCAGATTTGTATACTGTTATACTTATATACGTTTTGGTATATTTCATACACATTTCATCCACATCTATCATCATACATCAGATAGAACTCTTATATGTCTCAATCAACTCCTGAGATTCTCAGGTTTTAGCCTTTCATTTTTCTTTACAGTCCCTTTAACTATCATTTCTTTATTCTTTTATTTTAATACATAAAAAGGACAAAATATACACGAAGTGAAAGTTAAAATACCATTAGAAATCTTTTTAGGTCCTATTTATTTTAGTTTAGTTTGGGGGGGGGGGGGAAATCGACCAAAACGTACACGCTTGTTTGAGTTTCATCTGTATTAGTGAAAAAAAAGTTTCGTACATTGCACGTTCTTAATGTTCTAATGTTTATCTTTTCCGTTTTTATCTACTCCATGTTTATCTACTCCATGTTTATCTACTCATGTTTATCTACTCCATGTTTATCTACTCATGTTTATCTACTCCATGTTTATCTACTCCATGTTTATCTATTCATGTTTATTTACTCCATGTTTATCTACTCCATGTTTATCTACTCCATGTTTATCTACTCCATGTTTATCTACTCATGTTTATCTACTCATGTTTATCTACCCCATGTTTATCTACTCCATGTTTATCTACTCATGTTTATCTACTCCATGTTTATCTACTCCATGTTTATCTACTCCATGTTTATACTCCATGTTTATCTGCTCCATGTTCCAAATTTATTTTATCCAAGTTGTGCTTGAAGGGATTAGCTTCCTTAGCAACAAGTCAGATATATCAACCTTGATCTTGAAACTACAATAACAAATAATTAATAATAGGTAACATTTATTATATATATATAGATATTTGAAATAAATATGGATTTATAACATTTATCTTGCCAATCCACATATTCAGCTCATTTAACCAGAGTAGGGATGCTTTCTCTTAAACTCTAGATATTCTTGAAACTGCTGCTGGGCATCCTAAATGTATATGGATATGGTTGTTCTTGTGACTATCACAAATTAATGGATATTTTTAAACTTGTGAAATTTCATTTTTTCTTTAACCAACACAAATTGATATTATTTGGTATAATTTTGCATATTATAAGAATCAATATATACGTATTTTAAATTTTTGAGTTTGAGTCAGGCCCAAATATATCATAGCCCCAGGGAACTCCGCCATCGAAAACAAAGCAAAGAAACGGGAAAATTCATATTGCTATATTTCTATGAAATATTCGAGAAAAAAAATAATTACCATTAAAGAAGCATCTGGAAAATATTAAAAATAAATTTTATTTAAAATTGCATTTCAAATTTGTATTAAAAAATGCGCATTTTGCTAAATATTAAAATTCTTTAAATTAAATTCTTTTAAAATTCAAAGCAAAGCGTAAAAATATTAAATCATGCAATTTACTTGGAGTTTATGCATATTGCACATGGTGCAAGAACGTTTATATAAAGTATTCGAAAACTTTCAAATAGATTTTGCACAATGTACATATGTCCACGAATGGTGAGAAACAGTTGTTTACATGCTAAAACTTTTGAATGTTATGAAAACATTTTTAAAAAAGTTCCAATTGATGTTATGATGAACAAATGTATTCCAGTCGACCACCCTGCCCCCATGCACTCCCCCACACCCCTTAAACTGTACATCTACTCCTCTCCCATTTTGTATCACCTGAAACTGTTTAGTGCTCTGTAGATCTTCTAGTTCCTGATTGATGACACCATTTCCCTGCCGTTCAGGACGCAGGAATGCGTCAGGTTCTGCTGACCTGTACAGTTTATAGTGTACAGTGTACTTAAAAAACAGTTTTAGAGGGGTTATCTACTAGCTTTAACGGCAAACTACGCAAAACATGGTTAAACTCTAGTGTGGCGTATTCTTAATTTAAATGCTTAATGTCGATATTCTATGTAGGCACTTTTGAACTTGAGGATAAATAATTGATTCCAAAATTAAAGTTATCCCATCAGGGTATAACCAATCCTGTGGCCGAATTTAAAGAATTTGAGCGGCGGTTTGAATTTAAGCCGCGGTTTAAATATGGTTGGTTCCATTAAAAATGGTATCAAATGTTTCAAGATTTAAGCCGGCGCTTAATTTAAACCGGGTTTTGGCGGATTTAAACCGCGGCTCAAATTCTGTAAATTCGGCCACTGGTTATTTAAGAAGAATTATATGAATCCGTAGTTCTGCATAATATGGTGATCAATGCTTGATCCTCAGATTCACTACACAAAAGTTTTGATTTCTGCAAAAACATTTATTCTTTAATGCAAATATTTGTTTTTGCCACGTACATTTTGCATAAATGATTGAATACTGAGAGTTTAAAAATTTTCTGTTTTGTCCCCCAAATCCCAATTTGGAGCTTTGCACAGTCCAATGTGATGTGGGACACCTTGTAAATAGGGTTTCCAAACGGAATTCCGTAACAGGGCCCGCAATTGCGCGAAAGTAAAATCCTCTTTCATTAAAAACCCTACTTGAATATTTAAAAGGGGTTGTTATAGTAATTTGAAGTGACGCTTCATGAAATAGGGTCAAATTAATGATAAATAGAATTCTTTAAAATCTTACGAAGATTGATAAAAAAAATAGCTGCTTGAGTGCATCTACAATAAAGTATATTTTAAAAATTTTTAACAAATTTTAATTTATCTGTTTTATATTTTGAATTAATGAGTGAACATTAATTAAATGTAAAAGAAAACTTACTTGATTGGTCTGCCTGTGTTTGGATCTAGTAAAGTCCATGTATTTTGGGCGCTTCGCCTTCTTCTACCGTATCCTAGCGGAAACCTCTTTCTACAAGATAAACCAAATATTTGAAATGAATCAAATCAAAGTGTTAATAAAGGTTTAATTTATTTACCTTACATAGCGTATTAAATGGTTTGATTTTGGTTTCACTTTCCACGAGTTTAAAAGCGTTAAAAGAGGATTAGAGGTTTGACTTTAATTAATAGTGTTCAGTCATGGTCAGTTTTACTCATGAATACCTAAGCATGCAATGAGAACCAGAATTAGTTTAACTCTTACCTAAGCTTGCAATGTGATCCAGAATCAGTTTAACTCTTACCTAAGCATGCAATGAGAACCAGAATTAGTTTAACTCTTACCTAAGCATGCAATGAGAACCAGAATCAGTTTAACTCTTACCTAAGCTTGCAATGTGATCCAGAATCAGTTTAACTCTTACCTAAGCATGCAATGAGAACCAGAATTAGTTTAACTCTTACCTAAGCATGCAATGAGAACCAGAATCAATTTAACTCTTACCTAAGCATGCTATGAGAACCAGAATCAGTTTAACTCTTACCTAAGCTTGCAATGTGATCCAGAATCAGTTTAACTCTTACCTAAGCATGCAATGAGAACCAGAATCAGTTTAACTCTTACCTAAGCATGCAATGAGAACCAGAATCAGTTTAACTCTTACCTAAGCATGCAATGAGAACCAGAATTAGTTTAACTCTTACCTAAGCATGCAATGAGAACCAGAATCAGTTTAACTCTTTCCCAAGCTTGCAATGTGATCCAGAATCAGTTTAACTCTTACCGAAACTTGAAAGGAGATCCAGAATTATTTTAACTCTTATTGAAGCTTGTAAAGAGGTCCAGAAGTATTATAACTCTTATATAAGCTTGTAAAGAGGTCCAGAATTATTTTAAGCCTTACCGAAGCTTGTAAAGAGGTCCAGAATTATTTTAAGCCTTACCTAAGCTTGTAAGAAGATCCAGAATTGTTTAACTCTTACCTAAGCTTGCAATAAGAACCAGAATCAGTTTAACTCTTACCTAAGCTTGCAATGAGGTCAATTATTATTTAAGCTTTTACCTAAACTTGTAAAGATGACCAGAAGTATTTTAACTCTTATCTAAGCTTGTAAAGAGATCCAGAATCAATTAGACTCTTACCTAAGCTTGTAAAGAGGAACAGGTTCAGCTAGTTCTGCTACGGCCTAAAAAATGCTTAATTAAAACAAAACATTAGGAATAATAATAATCACGCAGGCTGGAAGGGTAAACAATCTGATTTTAAAAATGCTAGAAGAAGCGTGACCGATTCTGTTCAACTTGAACCAGTGCACACATGAAGAAGATCAACTACCTCTACCATTCATTAAATCTGGTCCCAGGTTCTTTGACTCTTAACAAAATATTAGATTTTACTAATTTAAAAACTTTTACCTTTGTTTTTAATGAATTTCTGACTCCTCTCTCAAGATTAATTAGTTCCCCCTCCACTTCCAAATCATTAGACAGCACCTGTAACAACAGTTTTAAAATATAAATATAAAATATAACTTTCTTTAAAATGTAATAAAACATGTAATCAATTAAAATTTGTAGATAAAAACAAAATAAAAGATTTGAAAAAAACGTAACCCCCTTCCACTCCCATCCCCTATCTACTAACTTAGTCTTATAGAGAACACAGTAGATAAAATAGAAAATTCAACGGAAAAACTGGACTCCATGTCCATGTAGCCAGAATTGATGTAGATGTCCTTGTGCACGGCTATTATGTAGAACTGGTAGATATATATGCATGACTATTTTGCATTTTTGTAGCTTTAAATCATGAATAGAAGAGAATATAACCGTTTATCATTCTTCGTAATCTTCATATATCAACTAACTCTGTATAGGGGTCCGGTCTGGGGGAAAACTAAGGTGATAACTATATCTAAATTAGGCGGCATTGTCTTTTGGTGGGCTATGAAAACTGGTATTGACAGGAAAAGGGGTGGGAGTACGATTACGAATAAAGTTTTAGTAATAAAATTTAATTAATATTTATAGAAGGTGTGACCCAAAATAGATAAAATTATGACTTTTAGATCTGTTCGACATGCACAAGATATTTTTAGTCATAGTTTTCAAAACCAGATCTAGACAACTGTGAAATAAGACCGGGTCGACTTTGAAGTATTTCAACCCTTTTGGCCTTTGGGGTTTAAGCACTTATTCTAAATATTGTTTGTTTGTTTCCATAGATACAAGTACATTTCAGATTTGCACCGTAATTCTTTCTAGCTTTAGTTGAAAAGTAGGTGGCTGACAAAAAAGCTAATATATTCTAAGAGAATGCATTTTAGAAAACGGAGATTGCTAGAAAGCAATTGAGGTTTGTGTTTTCTACAACCTCAAATGATCTAATATTCTTGCAACCTGATGATGTACAGCTTTGATATTTCAAACCTAGATTATATGATCTAATAGAGTTTATAGTTTGAAATATAAAAATCTACGACATTGGGTCGCAAATATAAAGGGTTTTAAAAAATTAAGAGTTTTCGCTAGATTCAGATTTATGAAAGAACATTATACTTGTAAAACATCTAATATTCCTGTTAATTTTTTAGAAGCGCCGAGTGTAAACCGTATTTTAGAAAGCCTCACACACTCCAAATCACTAACTTTAAGATTAGTCTCTAGATTCTCATGTTTACCGCCACACCCTGTCTAGTTCTTTTTCCCTATTCTTTCATTAAAATTGGTTTTCTGATCTAATATTTAAAAATATTTTTATCAATCAATTGATTAATAATAATTAACATTTTTTACTATCGATTTTGATGGTTATTATATCGTTAGCACTGACGAGGGTCAACCCAGACCGAAGCATATTTTTCAATAAAAAGTTTACTTTTTTTACTCTATCACCATCACCACCGAGTATTTGATTAAACCTATGTTTCCTGTTGCAAATAAAGACCTAGCTTATCTCGCTTCCTTCTTATTTTTGGCCGCCGTATAATCTTTTAGAATTTGAAGAATGGTATACAATGCATGTATGTAAAGGTGGATATATAAGGGGTTTCACCTGTGAAATATCACTTCCTAGGAACTGCTTCCCTCCTCCCAGTTTAGGCCTGACATAAAGGTCGGAATCAGTTTTAGGGTTCATGCCAATACCATCAATCAATAGGCATTCAACACCTTATTTGTATGCATTACTTGTACATTTCAATAAATGCATGTACATTGTACAATGTACATTCAAAAATGTATGAAATATGAATTCATTTTTTATACAACACATGTATGTGTTTTTGTATGTGCACAACAAATCAATGTAATTGCAGTACATACAATGTAAAAAATCAATGTATTGCACATCCAATGCAATAAATTCGATATGTGCATATACATATGATATGGTACAGTATATGTATTTGTTTATGCATGCATAATTTTTATACAAAAATATCCTAACTTATTAAGCTTGTGAATGAAATTTCCTAAATTCCATCTTTACTAGTTTGCGTCGGGGTGTGCGTATTTTAGATAGTTTTAAAGCCGTTTTGCCTTTTTTTAACATCTGTGGGGTTCACCTTTCCGGATGCTTTACGAAAAAAAGTTTGTTTTTACACTAACCAAAATATTAACAAATAGCCTTAACAATTTTTAAATTATTCATTAAAGGCCGGGAATAAGGAACCCTTGTGAATCTGATCTGATCGAATGTGTCACTCTATAAATGAAGAGCATTAATTTTATCTAATAAAATGACCTGTGTGGAACAAATATGTCTGCTCTTCTATTCACTGTGTTAACAACTGCTTGTTCTGCTTGAACTGCCTGACGTTGAAATCTCGGAACTCCGTTGATCTCGGCCCAGCGGTTGTATTTCTCCAAAGCATCTAGACGTAGAGTTGTCAATCGTGTTTCAAAACGATCGAAAAAATAAAGTTTTTTGTTTCTTTTTTTTGGGTCACAACTAACGAACCAATCGTTTTGAACCAAAAAAAACGAAAAACGATATTTTTTCATACGATCGTTTTTATTTAAATGATCGTTTTTAAAAACATTTTCACTAAAGAATCTGACTTTTATGACAGTTAATATGACAGTTAATTTCAATTATTTTGAGAGTAATAACCAGATTTTTTCTGACTTAAGGTTTTCTGATCCAAGGCTTTCCGACCAAAACATGTATTTGGTCTAAAAAACGGTCGTTAACGATAGTCAAAAATTAAAACAACCTACCTTCAATAACGAAACGATGAAGTATAACAAAAAACTACTTTTTTTGAATTAAAAAATTCGTCATTTTTCAAAAACGACGTTTCGTTTTTCGTTTTTTTCTTTGTCGTTTTTAAAACGAAACGATATCGTTTTCAAAAAAGTGAGACCGTTCCATCCCTTTCTAGACAACATTACTACTTTGAATTGTTGTTTTTTTCTCTTAAATTAATCACAAAATTAAATATGTTTATTTATTGTTTACTTATTTAAAAAACTTTATTTTTAAATTGATGTTTAGGTCGGCACTTGCATAGAGTTTTTAATAATGTACAGGGTGACGTATAAAAAAACAAGGATTAGCGTTTTGAAGCCTCACTCGAAAAAGCAATATTGGTTAGCTAAAGTTAACAGAGAGATTTCCGAACATTCAACATAGTTTTACACCAAACGAAAGGTTCGGACGACAAAAACTTAATTGTATGACCCCTTCTAAAATTAAAAACAATATACTACGGCACATTTTTGAGTAACTTCATAGGATTAAAGGGGCTAAAAAACTATAATCCCTGTTTTTGGGGGTCAACCTGTAGAATGTAGATGGCAAAACTTTGGGCGAAACTCATTGGCTTTGTCAGATATTTCTAATGAATATCAAATGTATAGAAACATGGCTGTAGAATTTTGGGAATTGATTCTCTTTTTTCATACATTCGTTTGTATCTTATTTCAGATTTCAGATATTTAGTATTTTCTAATCCAATTAGAATACAAGTCATATATGTTGGATTATACCGTAATATTTCATTATTTGTATATACGTAAATACATTATAATGTATTAACACCAAAAGTATAAAAAAAATATGGTGCATGACGATTTCACTTTTACAACGTAATTCATAAACTTAACAGTATTTCATTTAATGTTAGCAATTCTTAATGAAAATTAAAATTTTTCGTATGAATTATTTTACAATTATAATTTATTTGAAATTTGTTCGTTATAAAGACATACTTTGCTGAATGCTAATGTTTTGTTAAATTTTCTGTCAAACCAGGAATATTCTGCTAACCTTCATATTTGTCGTATCCCTGGACCCCTAAGCTGACCAGCATAACCAGCTGGAGAAGAAACGTATGCGCGCATTGACTCATGTTTATAAACTAAACGTTATACTTGCCGCGCACTCCAAACGCGCTCAGGATAAGATGACGGCGGGCACAGTGGGGGATCGTCATACATGCATGCTTCAATGACCATTCAGAGCACAGTGGTTCTATATTAGATGTTTTAATACTTTTTCTTAGCCCCGTTTTTCAGAGCTTTGAAATCAATAATACTATGTATTGTTATTTTTTATGTTTTGATACAATCTACGGAATCAAATCTTAAAATTTTAGTTTTATTTTGACTAGTGTTTGCAGAAAATAATCAGCAAACCAGTATTTTGCCATTATGTTGTAAAACTGATAGTTAAGCAGTATGAAAAAGTAAAATATTGTATCTTCATTAAAAAATTGCATTTTCAAGAGTTCTTAATACCACGTCTCCTCCTTCGACACCAGTGTGCAAATAATGTTTTACTTTTTGTGCTGAAAATTATAATTCTAAAATTTTGACAAAATAGATTTTTGATGAAAATAATCAATATCGCGTCACATCGTGGATAAATGTGTGTGAAGTGATTTAAGGAAATTTTCTACAGAATCATCGAAATTTAGAATGTCAAATAGTTTTAAAACATCCAATGGGGGGCTATAATAGTAGGGCCAGGATCATGAATTCTAAGGCTTTTAAGGCCCCAACGAAGTGCTGAGCGCCCCCCTACCCCCTAGAAAGGTGAAAGACCCTCTGAACAAGTTCTTGTATACGTCACTAAAAGTATTAACATAAATGTCTTTGAAACTTTAAATTGTATTAAAACGACCAAATTGACAATATATATAAATAAAATAAATATTACACTTGAGCACCTACACTTACGTTGTACTTTTTATTTCTTTAAAACCTTGACATAAAGATAAAATCCTGGTATTTTTTATAAAGATAACTATGGTGGAGAAAACTCATCTCTCATTCGTTACAAGTCCTCCAACCATGTGTCGCAAGGAAAACTTATTTTTCAAACAAATTAAATATAAAACATAATCAAATGATGTTTATTTTTGATTTTTGGGGAGAATTTGTAATTTGTAATCAATGGAGGAATGAATATTACAAAAACAGCTTGGTTTATCTTGAAAACTCGTTTTCCACTTTTGTTGGAATGTTTTTAACAAAACATTTTTTTTCGGTAAATTACATTTTTTTTACACATAAATGTTTTTTAACAGTTGTATGCTTGTGAGTAAAGTTCTAATGCATCCTCGAATTTAACTTCTCTTGGATTATTTGGCATCAACCGATCAACCTAAAATAATATTATACATTAACCGATCAACCTAATGTAATATTATGCATCAACCGATCAACCTAATGTAATATTATGCATCAACCGATCAACCTAATGTAATATTATGCATCAACCGATCAACCTAATGTAATATTATGCATCAACCGATCAACCTAATGTAATATTATACATCAATAATATTATCAACCTAATATATGAAAAAAGTGATTAATCTTTATTGCATTTTAAAAAATGTTAGATTATTTTGATTATGCAAAATGTTTAATGTATGTCTGAAAGGACTAATTGTTAATTCTCTGAATCGTGATTTAAAAGGTTTTATAATTACATTCTTTTATTACTGTTAATTACTGTTAAATAAAGAAAAATACGAGATTTGGTCCATTTAAAGGAAAAATTAACTCTCCACCATCTTTTCTCAGTTAAAGGTAAAGAGCACTGTTCTTCATTGTGTAATGCATTCTTTAAAGGGTTTGTGGACGTAACTTTAAACGTCCTTTCCTTTAAAATTCCTTGTAATCCCTTGTAATATCAACTAAATACGAATGCGTCGGAAAAAATCGATGACTATTGTTTGTAATATCTGAACGATTTGGTTGAAATTAAATTGATTTGTTTACGATCCGAGTTGAATGTTGCAACTTTCTGAATTTGTATGGACGCTGCGTTGTTCGGTATGAGTCGTTTTTAACAATTTTCTCCTTATAGACGAAACAGAAAGAAGTAAGATTAGTAGCGATCAAAAGCGATTATTTTTTGCCGTAAGCCTATACCCCCTTTCTTTTTTCGCGAACACTCCCTTTAAAGTAGAACTACCTTCATTGCCTGTGTAGCAAGTAGATGAAGATCCTTTGATTGTATTCCAACTTCAGGAAGTCGAGTTGGTATCTGTAGATCCAAGGCGAGCTTAACAAATTAACATGAATTAAATAAAAATATGAAAATATGAGTTTTTTAAATAAAGCATCTGATAAGGTTCATTGAATTAAAATAAAAACACTACGAAATTTTCTTCATCCATGTTTTTTTTCTCGAAATCTCAATAAAATAATTTAAAATTTTATATTTAAGGGTTTTACCTGGTAAAATCCATCAGCCATAACATTTACATCTAAAATGTTTTGATATCTGTCAATAATATTAGTAACTAGCTGAAGGGCCCGGCGTTGCCCGTAAAATTTTTTTTTTTAACCTATAACACCCATGAGTATCCACAAAAAAATGTCAGACCAATCGGTCCAGCCGTTTGGCCGGCTATAGACAACATATGTACGAATGCCTTGTCTTATTATAAAGATATATTCTATATAATAAAGCCATAGCTACCTCATATATATATATATATATTTGTATTTATATATTATCCTTTTAGACCAAATGGCTAGACCGAATGTGATGATATTTTTGAAGAACCCTTGAGTAACCCGGGGGTAACATAGACTAATTATTTTTCAATGTCGATTTAAAAAAATCAAAACTCGCATATTTTTTCTTTCAAATTTTTTTTCTTCAAAATTCGATTTTTTAGAAAGTCTTTGGGCAACGCCGGGCACTTCAGATAGTAGATAATAAAGATAATGTACATAATATAAACTATCTGTGTAATATATACATATATATTGTATAAAAATATGTTTATTGTGCAATATATATTCATATGACATAATTGTGACCCTTCATGTATAGAAGAGTTTAGCAACGCAGTTCTCTGATACTCGAGATATTACGTGAATCTGATAACATGTATAGAAGAGTTAATCTGATAACTTCAGCTTTATATTGACTGCTGTACATATCCAGCTGCACTGCACATGAATATATTGTACATGTCGTGTACCAAAGTAAAGCCCTTGTTCAAGGTTTTATGAACTCGTTTAGAACACCCTGTAATGAATTATTTCGTAAAACATTGTTATATTATTTTAATTGCTATCTAATTTTTCTGTAAAAAACTATAAAGAAAAAAATTATCAAGGGTTCTTGAAGACTTTCAATTTTCAGCTTTAAAAATACAAATATCTCCGTCTTTGATTATCAGACAAAGCGTTTAACGATATCATAATGAGTCAGGCATGTCTATACAAATAGAAGAATACTTGAAATTAAGTGTACAGTCCCTTTAAGCTGAATAATAATACCTGTGCCTTGAACTGCAGAAAGCGTTGGAAACACTAAAGGTGTCAACTCTCTGAAACAAAACTAGCCATTATAAAACCTACATAAAGAACCAGCAAAATGTGGAATAGAAAGATGGCATTAAAGAAAGTGCATTTGATGTTTTTACAACGCAAATAGGTTTGCTATAGTAGCTAGATAATCTCTGAATAACTGAAAAAGTTTGTGACTGTACTTAAGAATAACTTGATAAATAAAAAGCTCGAGTCTGCAAGTCGTCTTCCTATTCCGCATTTCTCTGTTTCTCACTGTACTATAAAAAATAAACATTTTAAAATTTATATTTTTTACCATAGATAAATAAATAAACATAGATAGCTTATGTACGCAAAATCACCAAGAATTGTACAGTCCGCGAACTCATACTTCTAGGGGTCAAAGTGTACTTCAATGATAAGCGGGGTGGTTTGGTGTTTTAATGGATTTCATAATTATTAAACCACTCAGGAGTGAATTTTATTTTGAGAATATCAAATTATTTCACTCAGCAATATATCATATTGAAGAATTAAAGAAGGACATAAGAAGGACTAAACTAACTTAAATTTCTCTCTACAGAACTCATGTACACCACAAGTACTCAATGACATAAGAACAGCCAATGTTCACAACCGACCTAGTTAATCTATATAATAGGAATATCTTTAAAACATCTCTGTACATTTATATCCTTCAAGATGAAAAATGTCGTCTTTTGCGCAATCTATCTTTATCTATGGTTTTTACTTACTTGTACATTTCAGCAGCAGCCGCATGTTCTCTATTAAACCTAGAAATAACAAAACGCAAAAGTTTTTTATTAAAAATAACCATAATGTACTACTTTATAACTTGTTTTACAAAATATGTAGCTATGCATAATAATATCTATAAGATTAGTCAAATCGTGTCAAAAATCTTGAAGATTAAACATGCACAATTCAAATTTTTATTTTGATACGATTGACAACTTATGTAAAATTCATTTGCAATACCTGAGAACATGAGGTAGCATAAGTGAGTTTGAAAGACCATGTGGAACATGGAAATGAGATCCTAAAATAAACATCAAATTAACAGGAACTGATTACTTGCCTTTTACTATTATTTATTATATTGGTGCAAACCAAAATTGCAAATTTAATGGAGGGTGTCCCATGCTAAACATAGCAATTAAGTGACGAATTTGAGATCGTCTTTGGTACGAAGTAGCAGTGTAATACCTAATTTTAGAATGGCATAACATAATTTGTAATTATGTCTGCTAAAGTTTATTTGATGAAAACGGTAAACGGCTGAACTGATGTGTCTACTCTGTAATATATCTCTGCAAGATAAACAGTGAAGACGGACAAGTTTACATTGTTTGCATGTATACCAGAATATTCTTGTTTTACTGAGTACAACAGTATGCAATCAAAACATTAACAAACAACTTATAAACTCTAACAGACGAATTGCAGGCTTCCCAGTGGGTCTGGGTATATCACTTTACTAAATCAAAAATCATTTTAAATGGCAATCTTGAAATATTTATCAATTCACTGTTTATTAGGATACCCTTTATTTCAAACTTTGACGATAAATAATAAGTCATAGTTTGAAATATCAAAGTTCATACAACATTTTGCTCGTAACATTAAACTGCCTGAAGCATTTAAAAATAAGGAACATTTTAGGTCAAAATTATGAAAAGAAAGGAAGGGATATCTCACAAAATTATGAAAAGAAAGGAAGGGATATCTCACAAAATTATGAAAAGAAAGGAAGGGATATCTCACAAATTTTCGTAATTTTGAAATGATTTTGCCAAGTTTGATAATGTTAACAAGATAAAATTTCTTCTAAAATGCAGTTCCTTTGCAGAGATAGTACAATGGGCGATTTTATCAATACAATGAAGACGACTTTCGGTTTCAATTTTGATTTACATAAAAATAGAAATCAATAGAAGGTGTCGATTAAAAATGTTTCACTTTGATTACTTTTAAACTTGTAATTAGAAAAAAGATTATTAACAATCAAAACTTAAATATAAAAGCCGTCTTAATTGTTTTGATATAGTCGCCTACCACTGTTCAAGAAGAAAAATATAAATTTAAAAAGTGAAGAGTTTACTGATCTTGTATTTAGTGGATACATTTCATTTTTAGCAAAAAATGAAAATTTTTAAGGAAAGGAATTCCATAATCAGAAATGTTTTCTTAAAACTTATTTTAAAACCGTCACAAAATTTTCATCTTAGACAGAATCTGAATATTATTCAAAGATTAAAATATCGAAGATCAGTGGCCGAATTTAAAGAATTTGAGCTTCGGTTTAAATTTATGCCGCGGCTTAAATATGGTTGGTTCCACTTAAAATTGTATCAAATGTTTTATGATTTAAGTCGGCGCTTAGTTTTAACCGGGTTTTGGCCGATTTAAACCGCGGCTCAAATTCTTTAAATTCCATCTCAGGATGAATTAGAAAATTAGAGTTAGTGGGGCCAGTATTTAGTTCTTTTAAACAGCGATTACAAAAAAGGCAAATTGTTAGTAAAGCTTTGTTTTCCTTATATTAATAGCGAAGAGAACTGGTCTGGACAATTTACTGTATTTCAGACAAAAGATTAAATATTTCTTAAACATTATTCAACACTGTCACAAAAATTTCATTTTAGGCAGAGGGTTAAATCTGAATCTATTTAGTACCTATTGGATAAGCCAGGGCATGCACAGCTGCACAGGGGGAATTGGTAAACGCCATACCAGCCAATAAACTGCCCAGTAACATACTCATTCGGGCATCTCGGTCATTTCCATCCTCTACAACTCGTCTAGAAGTAGAATATCTAATCCTCTACAACTCGTCTAGAAGTAGATTATTTAATACTCTACAACCAGTCTAGAAGTAGAATATTCAATCCTCTACAACTTGTCTAGAAGTAGAATATTTAATACTCTACAACCAGTCTTTAAGTAGAATAATTAATTCTCTACAACCCGTCTAGAAGTAGAATATTTAATCCTATACAACTCATCTAGCAGTAGAATATCTAATCCTATACAACTCGTCTAGAAGTAGAATATTTAATCCTATACAACCCGTCTAGAAGTAGAATATTTAATCCTATACAACCCGTCTAGAAGTAGAATATTTAATCCTATACAACCCGTCTAGAAGTAGAATATTTAATCCTCTACAACTCGTCTAAAAGTAGAATATTTAATCCTGTGCAACCCGTCTTGAAGTAGAATATTCAATCCTCTACAACTCGTCTAGAAGTAGAATATTTAATCCTCTACAACCCGTCAAGAAGTAGAATATTTAATCCTATACTACCCGTCTAGAAGTAGAATATTTTATCCTATACAACCAGTCTAGAAGTAGAATATTTCTTCCTCTACTACCCGTCTAGAAGTAGAATATTTAATCCTATACAACTCGTTTAGAAGTAGAATATTTAATCCTATACAACCGGTCTAGAAGTAGAATATTTCTTCCTCTACTACCCGTCTAGAAGTAAAATAGTTAATCCTATACAACCCGTCTAGAAGTAGAAAATTTATTCCTCTACTACCCGTCTAGAAGTAGAATATTTTATCCTATACAACCTGTCTAGAAGTAGAATATTTCTTCCTCTACTACCCGTCTAGAAGTAGAATATTTAATCCTATACAACCCGTCTAGAAGTAGAATATTTCTTCCTCTACTTCCCGTCTAGAAGTAGAATATTTAATCCTATACAACCAGTCCAGAAGTAGAATATTTAATCCTTTACAACTCGTCTAGAAGTAGAATATTTAATCCTCTACAACCCGTCTAGAAGTAGAATATTTAATCCTCTACAACTCGTCTAGAAGTAGAATATTTTAGCCTCTGCAACCAGTCTAGAAGTAGAATATTTCTTCCTTTACTACCCGTCTAGAAGTAGAATATTTAATCCTATACAACCCATCTAGAAGTAGAATATTTCTTCCTCTACTACCCGTCTAGAAGTAGAATATTTCTTCCTTTACTACCCGTCTAGAAGTAGAATATTTAATCCTATACAACCCACTAGAAGTAGAATATTTCTTCCTCTACTACCCGTCTAGAAGTAGAATATTTTATCCTAAACAACCTGTCTAGAAGTAGAATATTTAATCCGATACAATTCGTCTAGAAGTAGAATATTTAATCCTCTGCAACCTGTCTAGAAGTAGAATATTTAATCCTCTACAACTCGTCTAGAAGTAGAATATTTAATCCTCTACAACTCGTCTAGAAGTAGAATATTTAATCCTCTACAACCTGTCCAGGAGTAGAATTATATTTTATCCTCTACAACCCCGTCTAAGAGTAGAATTATATTTTCTCCTCTACAACTCGTCTAGGAGTAGAATTATATGTTCTCCTCTACAACTCGTCTAGGAATAGAATTATATTTAATCCTCTACAACTCGTCTACAAGTATTATTATATTTAATCCTCAACAGTCCGTCTACAAGTAGAATATTTAATCCTCTACAACCCGTCCAGAAATTGAATATTTAATACTCTACAACCCGTCTAGAAGTAGAATTGTATTAACCCGTCCACAAGTCTGTAACATATTATCTACAAAAATTGGATTTTTTAGTTCTGGGGTTTCTCCTACTCTTCCCTTTTTCCCTTTGCTATTTACCCATCCTTTTTTTCTCCCTTTTTTTAAAATTACTTTGTGAAATCTGTAATGTATTCGTTATTTGTTAATTTCAAAAATAAAATGTATCTATAAAACTTTTGAGGGCCAGCCAATCAAAACAACCAGAAATGGTTTGGCTGTAGCCCTGGCTAATAATTGTTTAATAAAAAATTATAAAATGTAAAATGTATTTATTATAATGTTAGCCGGAATAAATATCTATCTATCTATCTAAGTAGACTTATATTTAATACTCTAAAACCCGACTACTATTATATTTCATCCTCTACAACTTGTCTACAAGTAGAGTTATATTAATGCTCTGTACAACACATTAAAACTTCAAAAGGAAGGGGTTTGACCTCAAAAAATATTTTTGAAATATTTTATTTATGTTAAGTCCTTCGAACGAAAAAAGCAAATACTGTCGTCTTCTTGTATTCATCAGTTTTCTGTTGTTCATGTTAGGAAAATGTTTTTATTTTAAAATAATCTGAATTTAGATTTCCATTTACTAACCTTATATTTTGAGAGAGTAGTTTCAAAGCTTCCCTTGCTAATGTGTCAGATAACATATTTTTTTGAAATCTAAAAATAAAAATTTTAAAAAATGTTTAAAAAATTGCAGTTTTTCAAAAATAGTGTCATTTTAAAATATTTTAAATAGCATGTCTCTTTTTTTAACTTTTGAAGATGAAGGACAAGTGTAATGCAAAGTTAAAAAGACTGTGAACAAAATTTCAAATGACCCGCAGTTTTTAAGTTTTACATGCCTGATAAACAACAGTACCCTTAAAGGTTTGTATAATCAAGCATGAATAAGATATCCATGTCTTTAGCTTAATTAATCATTATTTTCATTCGTGATTTCTCTTTAACCCTGTAAAGACTGGGGGGTCTGAATCTATGTATAGCCGGGGGAAGCGTTTGGTGCCCCCACCCCTGGAAAGAGGCCTTAGAGAATAGGTATAGAGTTGAAATGTATGTTAATAACCCACTTTTTCATGGCCAGCTCAAAGAAAAAAAATTAGACCGACAACTTTATTAGTTTGGGTGCTAGGGAGTAGGGAGGGTGGAAAAAAATACCTAAAAAGGGTAAAAAAATTAAATAATATTTTTGTTTTGTTTTAAACAAATAAAAAAGTGTGACACATGTTTCTACATGCTTTTTTAAAGGAGGGGGACGCCAAACGCCCCCCCCCCCAGCCTGTTTAGGGTTAATAAACTTCTGAATTCCTGCTAAACAATTTTCAAGCTATGTTTGGTCCGATAAAGGTTTGAATGGTTTAGTTATACATCGAACAAGAAATTACGTCTACACTTCCTTTAAATTAAATTTGAGGACTCACTTTGATGTATATGCCTCTATAGCATGAACCATGGCATCTATACCAGTCGCAGCGCTAACCTAAATGTACCAAAACTTTATAGAAAATAAACTTAAAGGACTTTCTCGTTAAAGGTTGGAATTTTGAATGGATTTTAGATTAGTACACGATAAGATTAAAATACAGATGATAAAAATAATATTCATTAAAAGAACAACAAATGTTTCTAATTCCAGGCTCTCAGCCTTTGAGCCACGTCTTAGATCCCCAAAAACCGGTTTCAATTGAGCGCCGGTTTAAATCTTGAAACATTGAATACGATTTTAAGTGGAACCAAGGCTGCGTCTCAAATTTTAGCTGCGACTAAAATTCTTTAAATTCGGCCTTAGGGTGCTTTTACTGTTTTAATGTTTTAATATTGTATTTCAAGTTTTTATTTTTTATCGTAATTGTAAAAAACCAGTTTTTGCGATTTTTTTGTTAAAATTGCTGGATTTTCAAAAATAGTAGGTGTTGATTCTTTTTGACTAAATTGTTTGTATTTCTAATGGACACAAACAAATAGGCAGACAAGCAAAGTATATTTATATGGAAGATAATATATAAAAAAATAGCTAAAGTGCCCGGTGTTGGCCGTGGAATTTTTTCAAATAGAATTTTCAAAAATAAATTCAATTTTTTAAAGAAAAAAATTTCCAATTTTTGATGTTTGAAAGAAAAGAATTTTCAATTTTTGTTAGCCTATGTTACCCCAAGGGTACTCAAGGGTTCCCTCAAAAAATGTCAGCCCATTCGTTCCTGTCGTTTGGACAGCTATAGCGGACATATAAATATATATATATATATTTGTATTTATATATTATCCTTTTAGACCAAATGGCTAGACCGAATGTGATGATATTTTTGAAGAACCCTTGAGTAACCCGGGGGTAACATAGACTAATTATTTTTCAATGTCGATTTAAAAAAATCAAAACTCGCATATTTTTTCTTTCAAATTTTTTTTCTTCAAAATTCGATTTTTTAGAAAGTCTTTGGGCAACGCCGGGCACTTCAGATAGTAGATAATAAAGATAATGTACATAATATAAACTATCTGTGTAATATATACATATATATTGTATAAAAATATGTTTATTGTGCAATATATATTCATATGACATAATTGTGACCCTTCATGTATAGAAGAGTTTAGCAACGCAGTTCTCTGATACTCGAGATATTACGTGAATCTGATAACATGTATAGAAGAGTTTCACTTAAATTATTATTATTATTATTATGACTATTATAGTATTATTGTTATTATTTTGAACCTGTTGTAATTACACTAATATTAGTTACTTCTGACCCTGTACCAGCTGTGGTGGGCACCTAGAACATAGAATTACATGTTTGGATAAATTTTAAAATTTCTTCACTTTTCCAGGGGGTGGGTTTTGTGCTTCCCCCCTTCCTTTTGTTTACGTCCCTAACTTTGATGTACAAATGATATTATCTATTTGAAAACTTAATAAGATTTTAATAGATTAAAAACTTTACTAAATCTACTAAAAATTGATTTATTTCTAAAGTTTGAAACTTAAGTTTTAGATTGATTTAATTGAATTGATTGAATGTCAAATTCATGTTTTACCTGAATTAAAGGTAGACGACGACCAATACATTTATCTACCCCGTAGATATCATTCAACGATTGCCTGAACATTTTTGCATTATTTTCCTTCAACAATGTTCTAGATTATTATAATAGCTTGAAAAAGATACATTTATAAATATATTCACTCCAATAACTTGATGTTTAAAGTACTTTTTATCGACGCCTGTATCACGTGACGGTTCTTACTTTGTATTTCCTGCCATAAATGATGCTAGTTTAGCAGCGTCCATACTACTCCCTCCACCCACACCAACCATGCCATCAACTCCACTCACCTTCATGAAAATCAATTTTAATAGTGATTTCTATTTTAGATCGAATAAATATTACACACAAAAATTTATATTACATTTTTTTGGAAATGACGAATTCAGGAGCAATTCCTTTTGTTTTTCTAACTGAGAATTGTTATTTTATAATTAAAAAAATCATATGCAGATTTTTATCAGAATTTATCTTCTATTTCTTCAAGATAGAAAAATGACAACATCGATCCTCATTGTTTTATATAATATGTTAAATCGGACTCTGTAGTTGACACTGCGAACCAAGATTTCAACGCTCTCACGTAAAAATCGATCAGTAATTTGTCTACAGTGAAACCCTTAATAAAGAATACATCGAAAGAATTCATCAAATGTCGTATTCTTCACTTTCTGATAATGGAATGTTGCAGATATTTAGTTTTTTAATTAAATGATTATATGGAACTCTTTAACACTGTTCCCGCATATTCATGGCTATTTATTTATTTTCGCAAATACTGAAATTTACTTAATACAGTATAAAACTCATTGAAAAATTGTCAAGACGACATTTGATAAATTCTTCTGATGTATTCGTTATTAAGGGTTTCACTGTATATTACTTCATTCAATTTTAAGCTATAAACAAGCGCTGTGCAGTATATAAGTATGTTTTTACCTAGGGTTACCTAAAAGTAAAAGTGACTTGGTGAGGTGAAATCAAAGCCGAGGTCGTTGCGGTTCTTTATCCTTATAAAGGCTGGGGGCCTGAATCTATACATAGCCTGAGGAGGGGAGTTTTGGCGCCCCCTCCCCTAGAAAAAGGCCCTAGAGAATAGGAATAGGGTTGAAATGCATGTTTATAGCCCAATCTTTCATGGCCAACCCAAAGAAAAAAAGTTAGACCTATAACTGTAATAGTTTGGGTGCTAGGGAGGGGGGAAAAAATGCCTAAAAAAGGGTCAAAAAAAAAAAAAAATAGTTTTTAACAAATATCAAAGTGTGCCAGGCGCCAAACAACCCCACCCTTCCCCCCACCACAGCCTGTTTAAGGTTAAATTTGAGGCTGTTTAAATATTAATTCAATAACTTACAGCGTTGTCTAAATAGACATAACTCTTTAAATTAAGGATCACTTGAAAAGATCTGTACAGTCCCTTTAATAAAAATTAACCTTTGCTTGCTGGATAATCTCTTTGATAATATACTCAGGGGGGTCTTCTTGTACCTAGTTCATTCAGTGACATTTTTTGCTAAGGGGTTCGTTTAACATTATAAACGAAGACGACATGAATTTAAAATGCATAAAATACCAAAAAGCAGAATTGAAAACAAAGTTATAATGTAATAAAGTCATGTCCAATAAAAAAACGACATTTCAACACCCCTTAAGAGACTTTAAGATTGAGGCAAGAAAATTATATTTAAAAATTCTGCTATTTTAAATGTTCTGTGTATTTAAAAATGTCCGAAAATTATCGAAAAAGTTTACAATATTTTAATTAAAAAAACACTGTTCCTTGTCATAAACAGAGCATTTGAGTCCAGCTGATTCCACTCCTTCCACTACACGATCCACTAGACCAAGCTTTCTAAATAACTAGACACTTCACGATCCACTAGACCAAACTTTCTAAATATTTAGACACAGCACGAGCCACTAGACCAAGCTTTCTAAATATTTAGACACTACACAATCCACTAGACCAAGCTTTCTATATCCACTAGACCAAGTTTTCTAAATATTTAGATACTACACGATCCACTAGACCAAACTTTCTAAATATTTAGACATATACACGATCCACTAGGCCAAGCTTTCTAAATATTTAGACCTTACACGATCCTCTAGACCAAGCTTTCTAAATAGTTAGACACTACACGATCCACTACACCAAACTTTCTAAATATTTAGACACAGCACGAGCCACTAGACCAAGCTTTCTAAATATTTAGACACTACACAATCCACTAGACCAAGCTTTCTAAATATTTAGACACAACACGACCCACTGAATCAGACTTTCTAAATATTTAGACACTATACGATCCACTAGATCAAGCTTTCTAAATATTTAGACACTATACGATCCACTAGACCAAGCTTTCTAAATGTTTAGACACTACACGATCCATTAGACCAAGCTTTCTAAATATTTAGACATATGCACGATCCACTATACCAAGCTTTCTAAATATTTAGACATATACACGATCCACTAGACCAAGCTTTCTAAATACTTAGACCCTACACGATCCACTAGACCATGAGCTTACTAAATATTTAGACCCTACACGATCCACTAGACCAAGCTTTTTAAATATTTAGACACTATACACGATCCACTAGACCAAGCTTTCTAAATATTCAGACATTATACGATCCACTAGATCAAGCTTGCTAAATATTTAGACATATACATTATCCACTAGATCAAGCTTTCTAAATTTGTATATATTTCGCGCTCCACTAGATCAAGCATTCAGGGGTTTAAACTAGCAAGAATTCAGGGGTTTAAACTAGCAAGAGTTCAGGGGTTTAAACTAGCAATAATTCAAGGGTTTAAACTAGCAAGGATTCAGGGGTTTTAAATAGCAAGGATTCAGGGGTTTAAACTAACAAGGACTCGGGGATTTAAAATAGTAAGAATTCAGGGGTTTAAACTAATAAGGATTCAGGGGTTTATACTAGCAAGGATTCTGGGGTTTAAAATAACAAGAATTTGGGGGTTTAAACTAGCAAGAATTCAGGGTTTTAAACTAGCAAGAATTCAGGGGTTTAAACAAACAAGGATTCGGCGATTTAAAATAGTAAGAATTCAGGGGTTTACACTAGCATTAATTCAGTGGTTTAAACTAGCATCAATTCAGTGTTTTAAACTAGCAAGGATTCAGGGGTTTAAACTAGCAAGAATTTGGGGATTTAAACTAACAAGGATTCAGGGGTTTAAACTAGCAAGGATTCTGGGATTTGAACTAGCAAGAATACAGGGGTTTAAACTAACAAGGATTCAGGGGTTTAAACTAGCAAGGATTCAGGTGTTTAAACTAGCAAGGATTCAGGTGTTTAAACTAGCAAGAATTCAGTGGTTTAAACTAGCAAGGATTCAGGGGTTTAAACTAGCAAAAATTTGGGGATTTAAACTTACAAGAAATCAGGGGTTTAAACTAGCAAGGATTCTTGGATTTGAACTAGCAAAAATACAGGGGTTTAAACTAACAAGGATTCAGGGGTTTAAACTAGCAAGGATTCTGGGGTTTAAACTAGCAAGGATTCAGGGGTTTAAACTAACAAGGATTCAGGGGTTTAAACTAGCAAGAATTCAGGGGTTTAAACTAGCAAGGATTCAGGGGTTTAAACCAGCAAGAATTCAGTGGTTTAAACTAGCAAGGATTCAGGGGTTTAAACTATCAAGAATTTGGGGATTTAAACTAACAAGGATTCAGGGGTTTAAACTAGAAAGGATTCTGGGATTTGAACTAGCAAGAATACAGGGGTATAAACTAACAAGGATTCAGGGGTTTAAACTAGCAAGGATTCTGGGGTTTAAACTAGCAAGGATTCAAGGGTTTAAACTATCAAGAATTCAGGGGTTTAAACTAGAAAGGTTTCAGGGGTTTAAACTAGCAAGAATTCAGGGGTTTAAACTAACAAGGATTCAGGGGTTTAAACTAGATTCAAGGGTTTAAACTATCAAGAATTCAGGGGTTTAAACTAGAAAGGTTTCAGGGGTTTAAACTAGCAAGAATTCAGGGGTTTAAACTAACAAGGATTCAGGGGTTTAAACTAGCAAGGATTCAGGGGTTTAAACTAGCAAGGATTCAGGGGTTTAAACTAGCAAGGATTCAGAGGTTTAAACTAGCAATGATTCAGGGGTTTAAACTAGCAAGGATTCTGGGGGTTAAACTAACAAGGATTCTGGGGTTTAAACTAACAAGAATTCAGGGGTTTAAACTAGCAAGAATTCAGGGGTTTACACTTAAAGGATTCAGAGGTTTTAATATACAAGGATTCAGGGGTTCAAGGTTTAGATCTATATAGTTGTTTAACTAACCTAAGACCTGGATCTGTTACGACCAGAATATGTTTACTTCCCAACTTTTGCATCAAACCTCCAACCTTAAAGGTGATAAATATAATCTATATGTATACTTTACTTGTCTGTATATTTGTTTGCAGTCTGTCTGTTTTTTTGTATCCAATAAACGTCAAAACGGCTGAACTGATCGGCTCCAATTTTTTTGTGGGATCCCACGTGACCCCAGGGAAGGAATTTATAGATGATCGAATTTTAAAAATTTGCCTCAAACAAAATTTGATTTTCGAAAATTTTGAAAATTCACTAAATTTTTATGAATTCTTGTTTGTTTTGTTTTACGATTTACATAAAGGGAAAATGTTCACAATTAAAATGGAAAATGGGCGCGAAGCGCCCTAAATCTAAAACCCTAGTATCTATATATAAATTTGGCTTGTCTGTCTGTTTGTTTGTTTGTTTGGGTGTCTGTCTGTTTGTATCCAATAAACGTCAAAACGGCTGAACCGATCGGGGCCAAATTTTTTGTGGGACATCTAGTGACCCCAGGGAAGGTTTATGAATGATCAAAATTTCAAATATTTGTCTCCATCAAATCTCTATCTCCATTAAATTTTTTTAAAATTTTGAAAATCCACGAATTTTTTGTGAAAATCCGCGAATTATTTTTGTTTTTTTTTACGATGTACACAAAGAGAACATGTTCACAATTAATTTAGAAGATGGGCGCGAAACGTCCTCTAAGGCTAGTAATATAAAAATATTTAATATACAGATAATACATATTTCAAAATAAAATTAAAAACATTTAATTATCATTCCAAACTATTTATCTAGCTAAATATTCTAAATTGGTGTGGATTAATAGAAATGAAAATATTTACTATACTCTATGCTATGCTATTTGTTTAAATTTTTGGAAAAATTTCAATTTTTTTAGAACTTAATGGATAAATTCCTTTGATTTTTCATAATACCTTAGATGATGAACCCAGTTCGCAGAGAATATTAGGAACTAAAAGTGAAAAGTTTTAAATTGTTCATATTAGTTAGCTAGGGGTAATATGCTTTTCACTTTGCTGAAGAAAGAAAAGTTTAACAAATATTAAAGATAGAAGTGAGCAAATGTTTTTTAAAAAGTTTTTAGCGGAAATATGTTTTTAGCGGAAATATGTCTTAGCGGAAATATGTTTTTAGCGTAAATATGTTTTTAGCGGAAATATGTTTTAGGGGAATAGCTAGAAGTTGTTTCGGAATAGTGAACAATAAAGGAAATTATACCTGAAGAAAACAAAAATGCTTTTAGCGCCATTCTTCTGCAAATAATGACGTTTCTCAGTTGCAAATTCAACATTAAAATGCAAATTTAATTTTATTCTTTTATTTTAGTAAGATAAGATAATGCCGCCTTTACTAACTCGTATTCATAAACTATGTAAATGATATACAATACTTATAAAAGGTATTACTACATATAGCAATGTTTTTGTATTTCAAGATTTCAAAACTTTAAAAAAAATTCGAAATAAATATATAAGTTATGAAGGAATAAAAATATATAAATTATTATCATTATAAAAAGCCAATAGATGACAGTATCACGTCTAGAAGAAAAACTAGAAATGGTAATGTCAGTTTCTCGAGAAATGTGATTAGAGAGCTCTGCCTAGCTTAGCGTAAGATAAATATTAAAACCGGTTATAGACAGCATATATGTGTTGCCTATTCTCCGCTTGTAAATCATGAGGATTGTATAGATACTCAAGGTGTTTAAATATAAGCTGTTATATATAAGGGTGGTATACGGTTAATTGGAACAAATAAGAAGTCATTTTCATTGTCTCTCTTTAATATGACTAGTTTTGTAAAAAAAAAATACAAAAAATAGACTTAATAACTAGATTTCTAAATAGTTTTAGGAATAAACCTGGAATTCCCAGGGTATCCCAGATGCTATAATACTATATTTAATACTATAGATAATAAAGTTCAGATTATAGAGAGACAATGAAAATGATTTATAATTTGTACCATTATTCTTCCATGTATTAATGATGTTAGAAAATTTACACATTTGCTTTCAATTCATTGATATTTATGGAGAAAAAAATCTAAAATTATGCAACCTCGAACTTGCAGTTCTTCCAAGTGGATTTTCTACAAACTTTACTAGGACTATGATAACAAAATTTCTATTTCTGAAAGCTGTGTAACCTGGATCTGAAGTTATAAATTGATATTCCAGAGAGAGAGAGAGAGAGAGAGAGATAGAGAAAGAGAAATGCAAATTGCTTGTAGTTATGTATCATATATTTTTTTAAAGAATTAATATGTTTAAACTTTGAAAAAAACTAACGGCTCCTCTTCTTTTTAATTAAAAGAAACTGGGTTTAGAATTAAAGTTACGGCCGTGTTTTATAAATTAATCAACAACTCCTTTATAAATTCAAATAATAGGACTACTGTATTGTCTATTGTCCATTTATAAAAGAAAAAATGCATTAATTCTCAATTGATATTGAAAACAACGACATAAATAAATTGAATAGATTTAAAATTGTTTTGAGTATTGTTATTATATTAATTATTTCTTTACACTGAGCAATAGCCAATAGATAAACAGGTTAGCATTATAATCCTGTACAATAACTAGGCTGGATTAATAAAATGATCCGCATAAAGAGACTGTTAAGGAAAAATGAAAAGTATATGCGTTTTGGTTTAACTTCATATCAATTTGTTGAGACAGGAACATTAGATAGAAAAAATATTGGTCGCGATCAACTCCTAAAATGTGTAGGCTTCAGCCTATACCGATTTTACCTTAACTGTAAGCGTACTTTAAAGGGATATTTTATTAAAGATTGAGATTCCCGATTTACAACTGGAACCTTTAAACCCTTGACTGCAGATCTCAGAACTCAGTGTAAATATCGTGACCAGTCGTAAAATTGAAGTGTACGCTATTGTTCAACAATCACAAGCATTTCTGTAGATTAATAAGGGAAAGTATGTAGTCCTTATTTAGTCAAAGGTTTATGCAGGGTATCGTAGTAAATCAGGGATGCCACTCTAGAAACGGTAGGTTACTTGAAATTAGTTTAAAAGTTAATTGACTTGAAGTCCTTTTAATTTATGCCAGATAGGATAATCGCTAAAAAATTACGATTCGTCCATTATGCATGTAGACTTAGATTTAATGTATAAGGGTAATTTGCGCAAGAAAATATACTTTTATTACAATATAAAGGTATTGTATGACGTAGTTTCAAGTGACCCTTCATCTGGAAAGTGTCATGTACCATCCCAAACGATGTTACCATTTAAAACTCATTTTATTTCTGTTACTACGTTAATATAGTCACTCGAGCCTAGGGTTGTTTAAAGATAACTCACAATTAAAAATAACCAATAATTTCAGAAACTTCTTTATTTATTTCGTTCTTCATAAAACAAAGGTTTGAAGGGTATTGTTGTAAATCTGCTATGCAACCATATCGATAAAAAGTCAATGATAATTACAATTTACGAAAGTAAAAAGTATAAATTCAAAACATTTTTAACATGCCTGCATACAGATAAAGGGATATCATCACATCTTGCAGTAATTATGTTTAGCCTTCACTTCAATGATTTTGTTTAAATTTATAATGAGTAGATTTATAATATATCACTGTGAATTTGAAGTACGTAACTGACAGAGGGCGGCGCGGTAATCATGTGCGTTTACTAGATAAACGCAGTAGAAAACTTAGTAAACATGAGTTGCTGCATGCAATTGATAAACATATGATTACAAGATGTTCCAATAAACAAATAGATATAAATATTTAGAGATAACCTTTTAATCGTCTTTGATTTCGGAGAGTTGATGAATGTCCGGAAATGCATTCAAACAAGGTCATAGGTCTCATCACTTTAATCTAGACAAAAAAAGACGCAGTAAAAAATACGAAATCACTGGAACGACTTTGTGATATCATACAGTGAAACCCTTAATAACGAATACATCGGAAGAATTTATCAAATGTGGTCTTGACAATTTTTCAATGAGTTTGATACTATATTTCGTAAATTTCAGTATTTGCGAAAATAAATAGATAGCCATGAATATGGGGGAACAGTTTTAAAAAGTTCCATATAATCATTTAATTAAAAAACTAAATATCTGCAATATTCCATTATCAGAAAGTGAAGAATATGACATTTGATGAATTCTTTCGATTTATGGCTTATTTAGGTTTTCACTGTAGCTCCTCTAGTTTTGATTTCAAAGCAAAATTGAAAATTCAGTGATGGTGATGGACTAAACCTCTGTAGAGTAAAAAAGTAGATGTTAGTTCCACATTTATTGAAAACATATTTCGTTCTGGGTTGACCCTCGTCAGTTCTTGAGATTGTTTCTTCACAAAGATTATAAACAAACAAAGCAAAAGTTTGAAGAAATTTAATTTATCAGGTTAATAAAAAGTTTACAACTTTTTGGTTCCTATAAAATTAAAAGTTCTTTAAAATAGAAGTTATGTTTGAAAACATATAAGATTTCAATCTTACTGAAAATTAATGTAATTTACTTTGTTAAAAGCTTTCCGCAATTTTGTTTTAAGGTGATAGATGCAGGGTAGAGACTTTAAATACAACTGTATGGAATCTAACCAGCTTTTAATCCTTACTTGATTTTCATTCTTTGCAAAATTATTTAGCACATTGTTAATAGACCATATTAAAGACCAATACAAATATCTATCTTAATTAAATTTAAAGTTAATCTATAGAGGACGTGAGTCTGACTCTAATAAAAACGCATAAATAACTTCCAGTATATATATTTCTTATAACTTATTACTAGAGGGTTCAGAACTACAGTCAATATCGATATCACACGTGTAGATGTTTATCAGTACTATGCCCCGTATCCGTTCTATCTCATTCTGTTGAATCTTGTGGAACTTGTTTAACGCGGCCAAGCATCGTCTTCCACAAATCAATAGATTCATCAAAAGCTTGGTTAATACATCTACAAGCAGCATCGCCATTCATGAACAAACTCTTAATATATTATAATATGAAATAGACATATTTCGAGATAGACAAACTCCGAAATAGACATACTCCAAAATAGACAAACTCCAAAATAGACATACTCCAAAATAGACATACTCCAAAATATACATACTTCAAAATAGACAAACTCCAAAATAGACATACTCCAAAATAGACATACTCCAAAATAAACATACTCCAAAATAGACAAACTCCAAAATAGACAAACTTCGGAAAAGAGCAGCTTCAAAAAATATTGACTCCTTAATCCTTAATATGCAAACTCTAAAATAAAGAAAATTTCTGAATATTTTTAAAAAACCATCAAACGGTGTTAGGTGATTTTATCAATATAATGAAGACGACTTTCGATTTCAATCTGATTTATATCAAGCTTTTAAACAGCATGGATACACACAAACATGGGAACCATGAGAAGCTACCAATTAAAAAAGTTTCTCTTTAATTACTTGTAAACTTGTAATTAGAACTTGGCTAGTTAACNCTACCCCCACCCTTTGTATGGAAATGTGGACATTCCCCTTTGAATTTGAAAAGTAATGATTTTGGAATTTTGGTCATGTTGGAAGCTTTAAAGTTTAAGCTGTGTTATTCAACATGAATTTAAAGGCCTACAGATATTTTCCATTTTATACTATTTTATTATTTGTTGGCAATTTCTCCCTTTACAATGCAAAACTGAACAAAGAAGCCCCGGCAATAAAGAATATCCTTAATTGGTTAATCATTTTAATATATTATAATACGCTTGTCCAGAGTTCAGTTGAGTAGTGTGCACTATAAATACCTTAAAAATATAATTTTTTAATTCATTACACTGTTAACAGCCAACATTGTTACTTGCACATTGTTCGCACTCGCAGAGCATCCTGAAAGCCTTCAGACAAAGTTTTATCGCATTTTTTCTAGACAATACAATATTCCCCTATACAATAGAATATTCCCCTATGCAATACAAATTTCCCTATACAATACAATATTCCCCTATACAATACAATATTCCCCTATACATATACAATATTCCCCTATACAATTTTATATTCTCTTTTACAATACAATATTCCCCTATACAATACAATATTCCCCTATACAATACAATATTCCCTTATACAATACAATATTCCCCTATACAATACAATATTCCCCTATACAATACAACATTCCCCAATACAATCTATAAAAAGTCTGAAGAATATATTTTTTTATGCAAAAAAGAAGCTGATTATTTATCTCAAACAGAAGTTTTCTACAGTCCATCTTTGCAACCTAAAAATCTTTATATATTTGATCTAGCAGAATTCATAGTTTGAAATATATGTCTGCGACATCAGGTTGCAAGGATAAAGGGATCAAAACAATTTTTTTGTGATTCAATCTTAGACTATTTGATTTAGCAGGAATCATACTTTGAAATCTAAAAGGTTTAACACCTGAATATATTGCATATATTTATAAGGATTATAAAATAGAGTTCGTGGCAAGTGCTCAGTTTGCAAGTTGAACTTAAGTATCATATGATAAAACTACATATAAAGATACTATTTAAAGGATAACATGAGTGTTAGTGCGGTTGTGCGAACTATGGAGGGTTATGGGGAGAATGCTACAGCTCATGGTGTTAGATATGTATTTCCTAAACAACCTCTGGTTGATAGAATCATCTGGGGAGTAATTGTAATCTGCTTTACAGGTAAATTTAGTACTCATGTACATGTAATTACAGTACTCTTGTACATAGGTTAACTACAGTACTCACGTGCACAGAGTTAGTACTCATGTAATAGGGTAACTACAGTACTCCCGTGCACAGAGTCTGTACTCATGTGTATCATGTACATAGGGTAACTACAGTGCTCACTTGCACAGAGTCAGTACTCATGTACAATGTACATAGGGTAATTACAGTAGTCATGTAAACAGGTTAATTACAGTACGCATGGTATTAAGGTAATTACAGTACTCCTAGGCCGTGCGTAAAAGTTAGTTCAAAACTCATGTACACAGAGTAATTAAAGTACTCATTTATGATTTACACAGTATTCATAGTTACAGTACTCATGGTAAAGTTTTAGTACTCTTGATAAACACAAATTTTGCTTAGAAAGTAATGTTCCATACTCATTCATTATTAAATGTTATTGCAACATTATTTATAGGGAAATCAGCTCTGCTAAAGTTTGATATGCTTGTTTCTTATATTATCCATTATATTATAGCCATAACTTTCTTTGGAAGGTATTATCCAAACTCGATAGAGAGTCTATAATCTGAGAATATTGAACCAGCGAACAATATTGATAAAAGCATTGAACCAGTTCTGTAATGAACTACATAGTTTGATACTTAGGAACAGATTTCTGAAAAGAAAGTATCAATAATAAATTTCTAATGAATAAAGAGACTGTAAAGGAAAAATGAAAGAGGGTATAGGCTGAAACCTGAGAATTTCAGGAGTTGATGAGACTATAATAGTTCTCTCTGATGTCCCTGTCTCGAGAAATTAATATAAAACTGTTTCAAAATTATACCAAAACGTATATATATATATATATAAAATTTTGTATAAGATTCGTAGTGTTAAACAGCTCATATTTAACAAATACGCAACAAATCTGAAAACAACGATATCCCAGAGGAGCCTGAGAAACTCAAGTTTGCTCCTATTATTATTTGATTTTATTGATTTTTATTTTTAATTGATATAATATGATTTATGCGTCCGGAACATGTCACCAGAACTCCAACCAATAGCAGTGCAGTATTATTGTCCCGTGTTTCCGTCTGTATCACGTGACTAGCATGCTGCACTGCCGTTGGAGGGAGTTTTGACCATGTGATACGGAAAAAAATCTTACATATATACGTTTTGGTATAATTTTGACACAGTTTTATGTCAATTTCTCGAGACAAGAACATAAGATAGATGTTATAGGAATCATTCAACTCCTGAGATTATCAGTTTTAATCCTATACCCCCTTTCATTTTTCCTTTACAGTCCCTTTTAAGGGACTGATTTCTAATGATTAAAGGATCCTCCATGACACAGTTGTTTCAAACGTACACAAGCCTCTAAACCAATCAGGGTTCACGTACGTGCTTATTGAGTACTCAGGACCAATAGAATCGCAAAAGCGGCAAGATTTATCAATCTTTCTGTCTATTCAATTCGTGTAATCCAATTAGATATCTAATTGTAAATTAGCAACAAAGGCTAAACGATTTCTTTAATTATATTAAACTATACGGTGATGCCGTTATTGTTGTTTTTAATGAAAAAAGCTGTTTAATTTCCATATGTTTTCCTGCAGTATAAATGTGCAAGTCACTTTTAAACATTATAATTTGAAATTCTAAACATTAATATTTAATTTATGCTTGATTAGACAAAGCTTTTACAGTTGGGAATCGGATATTGTCTTTTTATATGAAGGGTCAGTTTAAATTATGCCTGCAGTCCCTTTTCTGAAATGGGAAGAAAAAGTTGGCGCTTAAACTGAGATAATAAGCAATTTAAAAACATATTACTGACATCAAATGGATCCGGATATTGTTTTTTTTTATTGATACTGCGCTCTCATCACCCATCCTTGTATTTTTTAAACATTTTTCAGGGTTATCTATCTATCTATCTGTAGAAGCGTACAAGGACTGGCAAAACAACCCAACTATAACTACTCTAAATAATGCTAACTACCCTATTGGAAAGATTGAATACCCTGCAGGTGGAGTAGATTCTGAAAATTTGACAAGAATGATTTAACAAATCAGTTTGGATTATCAAGCGTTGAGCTTTGAAGCTTCAGTAACAAGAAGATTTTAGTTGCAAATTTGAAAATAGCAAAGGTTTTTTTTGTAAGAACAATCTTTACTGAATATCTGATCTCAAAAGAATTGAGTCTTTGCCACAAACTTAGATTTTCTAAATCTTATATTTTTTCCACCTGATATTTTGATATTTTAAACTTAGATTCTTTCATCTAACAGAATTCCCAGTTTAAAATCTGTAAGGTTTACGATTTTGGGCTGCAAAGATATGGAGATTAGAAAATCATAGTTTGTGATAAAGTCTCAATTCCTTTCAGTTGAATTGGAAAAATTTTAGGTTCATTATATGCAAGGTTAATTAATAAGGTGGGTTACTCTGGATGCCCTCCATATATGGAAAATGTAGTGACTATAAAGAGAAGCGTGACGTCATATGTGGATTCTATCTATCTATGCTGAGGAGGCGACATTTTTCGTACATTGGAGAGCATCCAGGGTAACCAACCCAAAGAATCTTGTTAAAATGAAAATATGATATTAGTGACCATCTGCAGTCCTGGATTACGCACAGACCTACTTGACCAAGTTTTACTGAAGGAGTTCTCCCTCTGGTTAGCAAAGCAAATCATCACCAACCAAGGTTTCAATTACAATTTAAAGCAAAGAATGTTTTGATGTTTATATTGTTTTTTATAAATGTTTTCCTTAAAATATATTCCCACTAAAGACAATTGACGATAAATGACCAATGCCCGTTAATAAGGATAAAATAATTTCTTCAGGGGTGTATATTTTCTCAGAAAAAAATTCTTCCCCCCCCCCCCTCCTTTTTGAAATCTATTTTTTCCCCAGCACAAACATTTGTTTTATGGTTTTGTTCGCTGAATTTTTGAGAATCTATGATTTTTAGGGAAAAAATAAATTTGTAATTGCAAAATATTAAAAGTATCAATTTAAATGAAAAAAGTTTTCTTTTTTATGCCCAATTTTTCATTTTTTCCCCCAAATTATAAGTAGCATTCAATTCTAAAAAATATACACAATTTTCATGAAAAAAGAAATAGAAAATATATTGTTCTAAAATCATGCATATTTCTATTCAACATATCTTGATAGCTCCGTTGTTACTTTATCCATGATTTCTTTCTATTTCATAGTATAGACACATATAGCAATACCATTTATTGTGATCGTTGTGCAATTCAATTCTATTTCAGATAACACCCATTTTATTTTTTTTATAATTTAGTTACTTTTCAGGTGACAACTTTACTGTGCTGTACAACAAGTTCAACGTGGAAGAATTTAAAATAAACTCCACTGTAATGAGGTGGAATAGTTAATGTTACAAATAGATTTGTTATTAAAGGGATATAAAGACGTAATTTCAATTGACACTTCATTAGCAGAGTTTCATGTTTAATTCGCAACAGTACTTTTTTAAACCTTTGAGAGATAAAGAAGGACTGATTTATCCTTACTTCTCTTTACAAACGCTTTTAATTGTTGAGCATTTTATTCAAAAATGATTAACAAGCCGCAGAACATCAATTTTTAACAACTGTCATGGACATCGACATAGGATAATCGGCTTTTCGAAAAATATAAATAAAATCAGTTGCGTGCAAAGATACACTTGATGATCAGTCAATAGACCAAATAATAATGGTATTCTTGTAAAATATAAATAAAATCAGTTGCATGCTAAAATATACTTGATGATCAGTCAATAGATCAAATAATAATGGTATTGCTCTAAAATATAAATAAAATCAGTAGTGTGCTAAAACATACTTGATGATCAGTCAATAGATCAAATAATAATGGTATTCTTGTAAAATATTTATAAAATCAGTTGCATGCTAAGATATACTTGATAATCTGTCAATAGATCAAATAATGGTATTGTTGTAAAATATAAATAAAATCAGTTGCATGCTAAAATAAACTTGATGATCAGTCAATAGACCAAATAATGGTATTCTTGTAAAATATAAATAAAATCAGTTGCGTGTTAAGATACAATTGATAATCAGTCAATAGATCAAATAATAATGGTATTCTTGTAAAATATAAATAAAATCAGTTGCGTGCAAAGATACACTTGATGATCAGTCAATAAATCAAATAATAATGGTTTTCTTGTAAAATATCAATAAAATCAGTTGCGTGCAAAGATACACTTGATGATCAGTCAATAGACCAAATAATAATGGTATTCTTGTAAAATATAAATAAAATCAGTCGTGTGCTAAAATATACTTGATAATCAGTCAATAGATCAAATAATTATGCTATTCTTGCAAAATATAAATACAATCAGTTGCGTTTTAAGATACAATTGATAATCAGTCAATATATCAAATAATGGTATTGTTGTAAATCGGTCATTCCCCTCTTTGCATTTAGGGTCACTCGAAATTACGCTCACAGTCCTTTAAAACCCCATTTAATGTTTGTTTAGTGTGATGGATCTTGTTAAAGTATTCCTGTCACAGAATATTGAAAACAGTCAAACAGATATGGCAAGGAGAAATGCTTTTGCTTGCGATGCTAAACTACTGGCTAGTTTTCCACCGTAAGTATTTATAAATTATAGAACACAATAAGATATCAGGTTTCCTCCTCCCCCACACTAGTCAAATGTAGAGTTTTAAGATAAATTCAATTGTAAAATGCTAACCTTATAGGGTTATTGCTCTTAAAAACACAATTTGAAGGTCTAAACTGAACAAATAAAACGTAAGGATTCTACATGTCATTGGCACACATAAAGTGTACTTCTTAAACGCTCAAAAAATGGTAGGATATCACGTAAAATAAGCTTTGAAAACATTATCTTAAGCATAAAATGATGAAAAATTATCAAAAATCATGCCTTTTCCGTTACGTTTTGCCATTTTTTGAGTAAAATATACAAGCTAGATAAAACTGCAATAGTGCAAAACATACTGCAGAATCAGACCCTATGTTTTATTTCTTCAGTTTAGGCCTTTCAATGGTGTTTTTATGAGCAATTGACAAAAACCAAGGATATTACGGAATTATTATATGAGTATTTGTATAAGAAGACAAGGGCCAAACCAAGATCCAAGATATTCAATTATCTTTTAAAGATTTACACCAAATAATTCGTTCTCTTCATGAATCTGTTACCTAAGGTAACCGGGGAGAACCCTGAAAGTCTATATTTTTTACAATTAAATATATCGTGAAAACCTACATTTGACTAGTGCCCAATCACCTTAAATTCAATCCCTTCTGGATATCATTACCCCCCTGAAGTCTTGGGACAATCATTCAAGACATCCATTTATAGCATGACTTGTTCCATGTTATGCGTTCTATAACTTAATTATGTTGTAAAATTTTGTTTTTCTATCAAAAATCAATAATAATAATAACTTCTTAAGAAAAGAATGGTATTTCAGGGTGTGTACTATTACATCTCCAAAGTTTACAAAATATGTTAGTTCCTACCAGGATTGCTTTGGACTCTGTAATTTAAATTCTACCTGTGAGAGTGCTATTTATGTTGAATCTAGTAATGAATGTTTTACATCTTCTGATACGACTGAAGTTGATACATTAAGACGTAAGTATCCAATTAAAGAAATTGTTGATGGAATATATTTTATTGCCATTTTAATTCATTTGATTAATATGTAACATCATTGTCTGAGTTTGTGTAACAAACTCTGATTTTTCAATCCCTAGAACTTTAAAACCCGACGTTGTAGACGTTTCAAACTATAAATTTGTTGGTTAACATTGTTTAAGATTGAAATATCAAAAGTGTGTACCATCAGGATGCAAAAGTATAGGGATTATACAATTTGAGTTTCTTTTCAAAGTAAATTAATATAAACTATTTTTTTAGGTATCAATAACAGCATTAATAATCCCTGAAGAAATATTTCTGCTAATTGTCCACATTTTTTACGCTGTATACAATAGAAATAAAGAATCGCCTCTTGTCTAGCAACAAAAAATTGCTTTTGAATGTTGCTTCCCAAGCCGCGAGTTTTTTATACCAGAAAATAGATTTATGTTTTGTATTAGATCTAAAAGAATGGAGTCAATTATCTGATAGAAAATGAATAATCTAAAATAAATCATTGGACTTGATTTTACAAGAGGATTAGACTTATTTTAAAATAAGGAATATATATCGCATTTGTGTCATAATAAAATAATTTACCAAATTGTATAAGCACAAGATTTGATTTCAAAATTAAATTGATTTTGATGATTTAGAGTTAGGTTGTGAAGTAGGATTGTACTGGATTAAAACAAATCCAGTATTCACTGAAAGGTATGAATATCAGTCTACAGCATCTTCAAACTGTTGGAGTGGAAATGGGGGAGCCACGGAGGTGTATCAGGTATTAGGCTTTTAGACCATCTCACATCCAAATTTGTAACTTTACTTTTTCATTTTATGCAAATTTTTTAAGTTATCTGTTAATCCTTTTTGACAGTTATTTAAATAAGCAATATATCAGTGGTTGTATGTTTAATCTTCAAAGGAATACAGCCTTTACAAAATTCTTGTCAACCCAATGTCGTAAACCTTTGATAAGAACTAAGAATTTTATAAGAATTTTAAAACAATGTTAGTTTGAAATATCAAAGGTTTACACCATCAGATTCCAAAGATATGGAGCGTAGAAAGTTAAGTTTGTAGTAAAGACTCAATTCCTTTGAATGAAGTTAGGATATAGTTCCAAAACTAACACTTTACCCATTTCTAACAATGAGTGTTAGAAATGGGCCAAATTAGTTTTTAATGATATTGATATTGTTGAGCTCTGATTTTCAAATCCCTATATCTTGGAAACCTAATGTCTTAGACCAAATATATTTCAAACTAAGAATAGTGTTAGGTCAAATAATCTAAGTTTGAAATATCAAAGGTTTACTCCATCAGGTCCCAAAGATATAGGGATTTAAACATTTTAATTTGTGACAAAGATAATTTTTAATTTCAGTGTTTTATTTTGCAAGTTATGAAAGAGAGTTCTGTTCTAATTAGAGGATTATACTCAGAAAAGGGATAGAGGGTTTTGTCTCGAAAACGCGCGCGACAATGATTCAAATTCAGGATATGTTCGAAAAAGAAAAGCCTAACAGTGTATTGAAAACCGTCAAGGGTTTGAATATAGAAAGAACTCCTTTTATAATTTTGATTCCAGAAAATAATTTTAAATTGGGAATTGTTGTCCTCGTCATAATTAATAAAATGTTGGCTATATTTTTAATTATCGACTTTTACTCTCGATATGGGTTGTGATCTTAAAAACCCAGTCTTTCCATTTGTGCCTATATGTTTGTTTTGGAACTAATGTCCCCTGTATTTATGTACGTATATCCATGTTGTTTGAAACCTTGAGAGAAATCAATACTTTAAATCGAAAGTCGTCTTCATAGTATATGACGACGACTGTTTAAGATCTAAATATTGAATATATGTTTAGGCGCCAGATTCCTACTTTAATTTTACCGTTGCTGAATGTAAAGTGGTTTGTGATGTGGATCCGGTAAGAAGTTGTCAATCATTAGAAATTAAGTTATCAACTATTTTTTTAGGAGAAACTGTGGAAATATTTGAAAACAAACAACATTACTTTTCCAAGTTAGGCCCGGTTACTCTGCCAATAAATTTCAAAGTTCGTAAAGGGGCTGTTCACTTTGGTACCCTTGAAATTTCTTTATCTGATCAATAATGTGGAAGATATTGTCGTTTTTCTAGGTTTAAAAGTGTTTAACTCTAATCATTTCTATATTTTTTCTTGTAGTAGGAATGTGCAAGACAGTTTTGTAGAGAATCTTTAATTTAGAATAATCAATTTTTCAAATTATAAACATTGATATCCAATTCAAAATTGATCAACCAAAGCTTTTAAGGGTACCGCGATCGTTGTGAATCGGGCATTGCCATATTTATTTTGAGGGTCACTTGAAATTACGTTTTGCAGAATTTTAAAAACTATAGCTCCAACTACTTTAATAAGCTGAAATGTAAAAGCATACATTATTCCTCGTTCTTCTAGTCTGTTTTTTTTTCAGCAATGTCAAGGATTCTTATGGTGGTCAACTGAGCAAAGATGTCATAAAAGATCAAATTTTGTTTTTTCACTGTGTACAACTGATATATATACAGTGTATTCACTTACAACAGGTGAGTTTGAGAAAACTCATGATTCATTAATAAAGGATTTAAGGCTTTGCCACAAACTCTGATTTTCAAACCCCATATCTTTGCAACCAAATGTTGCATACCATAAATTTTTCAAACTATGCATTAAGAATAAGTTTTTTAAGTTTAAAATATCAAAAGTTCAGATTGTTAAAATATTGGGATTAGAAAATTTGATTTTGTGGCAAAGACTCAATTCCTTTTCCTTGCAGGACAACCTCTATATGCTAATCCTTATATTCCAATCCCTGCAAACATATCAAACACAACTGATGTATCCACTTCTCCTGAACCAATATGCCCAGAGCCAGAAGAAACACTGTCTGCTAAAATCAAACCTGGAGAAATCCCCACGCTTGACTTATTTATAAATGAAAAGCGAAGTGAAGAATTAAAACAAATGCAAAGTCAGCTTATTGAACCTATAAAACAATATATGAAATCCCTGGACTTTGAAACATTTCGTAAGATTTTTAAATTATTGGGATATGTTTCCCAACCTTGTTTTGATATTCCTGATCTACAAAATGTTAAATATCTGTTAAAAAGATGTGAAATACTTGGAACTGAGGTAAACTGTAGCAGTATTTTTAGAACTGTCATCACAGACTATGGAATATGTTGTGGAGCTAATGTACAGAATATACTAAGAGAAAGTAAATATACAACACTAGTAAATGAAATGGATAAAACAAATACTGTAGAACAACAACAAAAAATACATCCAAAAGTTGGGAAAAATAATGGTTTGCGTTTAACCATTGATAAAAGCATTGGAAATGTTGACTTTGGGACTGTTTATGAAGACTATGATGCATTCCAATTGTATGTTGGATCTTCAATGGAATTCCCAATGATGCAAATGAAGAGTAAGGTTTTATCTCCTGGTAGAGAGCATTTTGTCCAGCTTTCATCATACATAATATCAGCAGATGATGATATAAAATCAATTTCACCTGAAAAGAGAGAATGTTTTTTCCCTGATGAAAGACATCTAACTCTTTATAAAACCTACTCATTTATTAACTGTGATATGGAGTGTAAGATACTCCAGGTTGAATCTGAGCTTGGATGTGTCCCATGGTTCTTACCAAAAGGTATAAAAACAATATTTTTTTTTATTTTTCAACTGACTAACTGTATTGTGTTTAAAGGGGATGAATCAAGTATATGTGATCCCTGGACTGCGTTTATGTTCCAAAAACAGATGGAGAAAGTTGAGGTTACTGAATCCTGTAATTGTGCCCCTGACTGCTCCTCAATTACCTATACCAGTAGTCATACTTCTTCTCCATTCAGGTTTAGTATACCTTACCATTATAGAAGAGGTGATTAAATAACATTAATAAAGCATAACATTCGAGTTCTTTAAGACTGAAATCCTTCAACTTGAGAATTTATTAAATAAATGTTTCAAATACTTAACAATGTATAGACGTTCTAATGTTGGCAATCAGATTTAATGGTTGAAAATGACTGCATTGGACTTCTTAGCAGATAAATATTCAGAAAATTATAAAATATGAACATGTAACAAATCATGTATAGAATCCATTCCTTTGTAATGGATTTTTAATTAAGGACCGATTTTTCTCCCCTAAAGGAATGAAGTATTTGCAAAAAAACTCATATTTTCTAAGCAATACATACAGAGAATAGAATATGTATTAGAGTGGAATTTAGACAATCCCTCGGTATGCATTTTGTCAGTCCCTTTCAGCCTGCAAGGGAGTTCAAAGTGTACAAGTGTCAATTAAGTATTTAAGAAGTCTATTTGCTAATATTTCAAATAAATAAATAATGTATTAAGGGGTTGTGACTCTAGAGTCTATTTGCTAATATTTCAAATAAATAAATAATGTATTAAGGGGTTGTGACTCTAGAGTCTATTTGCTAATATTTCAAATAAATAAATAATGTATTAAGGGGTTGTGACTCTAGAAATTTCAACTTGAGTCCTCTCTGCTTGATCAGTGAGCAGGCTACATCAGGTTGGACCGAATCTGCAAACAGGATTTACAAATCTAAAAGTCAAACCGTACCGGTAAATATTAGCTCTAGCCAGCTTAGAACTAGATACAGTACTTACAAGATGATGCAAAGTGAGATATTTACCAATCTAGTTCAGGTAATGATAATTAGAAACATTTATAATTGATATTCCGTCTGATTCTTTGTGTGTCCGATCATAACTCATAAAGTGGAATATTATAAATAAACAAATAGATACATTATCAACTCAATTCAATCTGTGACAACAGAGAACTGCATATTTTAAAAGAATATTTATTCTAAATCTTAGTTTTTTTAAAGGAGGTGGTAGCTCTTGGCTTGTATAGTTTTTGTATTTGTCATTTTGCTTAACTGTAGTTTTAATTTAAATAAAACATTTGATTTGGGGTATAACTAAAAATAATATGCCAGGGGTGTCAAATAAGTATTCTTTATATTATTGATTGAGGGCCAAATCTGCACTTCAGATTTTTAAAAATTAATAAATGCTTGATTTAACAATTGCGATAAAGATCTCTTAAATATTTTCGAAAAAAATTAAGAATTTGTTCGATTGGAAAAGGAAATAATCGACGTTTTTAATTCCAAAAAAATTGTCTGGCAAAAGTGTTGTGCATAAATCGTGTTATTTTCTAATTTTTGATTTGACAAGTGTACTCCGTCCGTGCTCCGTTCAAAGTACAAGTCGGCCTAGAAATGGAAAAGAAGAAGACGCATTGAGACTAAAAACAAAGTGCGTAGAAATGTACTGAAACTGGTTTAAAGTCATCGCAAAAAAGAATTTCTTTTCGAAACGAAACAAACATATGATAAGTTTTTATAAAACTCGTTGTTTCGTTAACGATCGTTAACGACAACCCTTCGTTAATGATCGTTAACGAAGAGAGGAAATCGACCTGAAGGGCATCTGTACTTATCATTGTGTTGTTTTAAAGAAAATATCAAGAAATTTTACGTCCCTAACAACTGTTTAACTTCATGTCAGACGACATACAATAAAGTTCTATGTAAATTTTTTTTCAAAAACGATCGTTTTTCCAAAAACGACCGTTTTTATAAAGTGCGTCGTTTCGTTAACGATCGTTAACGACAACCATTAGTTAACGATCGTTAGCATAATTGTGAAGAACGATCGTTTTTTTAAAAAAAAATCGTATAAAAACGGTTTTCAAAAACGATCGTTATTTGTTTTCTAACGGTTCAAAACGAGTGGGTCGTTTTTAAATTGTTTTTGAAAACGATTGAAAAACGAAAAACAACCTTACGCGCACCATGACTTTTTACTGTACCTGGCCATCATAGGCCTATTTTACTTACTCCACCCACTCTCCACTAACGCTACTAAATCTTCGGCTTTAATTTACTGCAAATCACTGCAGAACGCACTTAAAGCTTAGTTTAACGTGTTTTAGGATACAAGTTTTCTTACCTATGATGCAATGAAGGAAGATATTGCTGTTGTTAATATATATTTCGCTGATCCAACATTATTAGGTAACACACCGCGGCCAAACATACAAAACCATCTTAATTGTCTTAAGAGGGGTAAATGCTCTTGAGTAGGGTTTCGAGTGAAAAGGGTAAATCTTTTCGTGAAAATTTCACAAAAAATTTCGCATTTCGTTCATTCATAAAAATGCGAAAATTTTGCGGAAAAATATAAAGTAAAGAAATCATTTATTATGATAATACAATTCTAATGCTGAGCTCTCAGAGCAGTGAACTCCATAAGTTTTTTTGCGCAATTATTTGTTGCAGATATGGTTTTGCGGAATTGTTTTTCGCATCTTTTTCAATTTTTTCTTTAATTAATTTTTGCGAAAAAATGTTAATTTTGTGAAAAAGTTTGCGAAATACGAACGAAAATTTTCGCAGGAAACCCTACTCATGACATATGCTTTTCGATAAAAATTGGAAGAAAATTCATGGAATTTGAGTATTGTTAAAATCCAAATATTTTAAACATTTTAAATTATATCTACAAATGGACTCTGATATTTAGAATATGAACGAGGAAAACGATTTACGTTTTATACTTTCCTATCAGCTGTTGGAGGTTTCTTCTCTCTGTTCCTTGGATTCAGTTTAATCTCTTTCATTGAGATATTCTTCTGGTTCACCATTAAGCTATCAAGGAACTACTCTGTGCTATTACTAACTTTAAAATATTTAATGAATACATGGAATTCTTTATTGAAAATACATCTTTGATGACAACAAATTTTATTTAATAACAAACTAAAAAATTTTATAATTTTGAGATTTGAGACTGAGTATGTTTTAGGGAAAACATGAACAAGAACAAGAATTAATATGAAGGTTTTGTTTATGTAAGGATGTAAATGTGTATTTAGAGGAAAACAATAAAACAGATTTCTAAAATAGTAATTATTCATTCTTGAGGGTTAGATTACAAAAAAGTAAGAATATGAATGAGCTGAAGTGAATCTCTAGTTTGAACACAGTTCATCATGTTTCTATTTACCACCCTGGACTAAACAAGGCGAGATATATATACATTTACGGTTTCTTATATTTGAATTCAATTTGTTGGATTCAGTATGTATTTTTAAGTGACCTTCCATGCAATGATGGCTTACAACACGGTTTACTTTACCCTTGAAGCATTAATTCAATCAAAATGGGAAAATACCGTCGTTTTACTTAAAACGCGTTTAATTCTGATAAGTTTTCCTTTGGGTCCGACAAGAAAGAAATGCGCAGGTCACTTTTGCAAAGAATCCGCATATGAAAAAAACAGAATTTAAAGAAATAAAGCATTTTATACGTATTTTGTTCTCCTTGTTTTATTTATGAGAATCAGCAAATTGGCTTAATTTTTGTACTTTCATTATTTTGACTTAACAGGGTGCACCATTTATCTAACTGTAAAAAAATGTAGCTAACTAAACATATTCATTGTTTTGTTTTCAATCATATATGATGTACACTGTAAATGTATAATATAGCATGAATTATAATGATAAATAACGTTGATAAAATTGAAATTCAAAATAAGTGTTGAATGAACATTTCTTTTCTAATTTTGACTCCTGATCTCTTCTACGATTTTTTGAAAGAGCACTATCATTTTTGACACCTTGAAATTTCTTATCTAATAAGAAACAGCAATTAAAATGATTTTTGCAAAATATTTGTTAAATGCTTAGGTAAAAGGCTAAAAGCTGTAAAACAAAAGTTATGAAAAAAAAAATTATTGCATCTTTAATTTGCAACTTCTTGTCAAACTCTGATTAATATTACCTATATTTTTTTCAACTGATGGTTAATTGGACTTTTTTATATTCAACGCGTTAGTAGAGCATTAATTTTTAAATCATTAAAAAAACGGATTGAAAAAAAACTTTAGTTTTTTTCTCCTAAAATGTATGATACACTAAAATTTTCATTTATATGTTCATCTCTGAAGCAATGTCAAAAAATAAAAAGTTTTTTAAAAATCTGTTATATTTGTTGTAAACACGATTACATTTCAATGTTTGATTATCATACAGATATATTGATCAAATGATTAAACTCCACCGAATGATTAATCTCCACCGAATGATTAATCTCCACCGAATGATTAATGCTTGTTTTGGTTAAAGACCTCTCTGAAAAATACTCACTGATTAATTGTATGAAAATGATAATAGCAAGGGGTAAAGTTTCTATTGAGACAGGGTTTCCATGTGCAAAAGCTTAATACAAATCAGGAAGATTGATTAATTTATTTTTAAATTACCTATAATTATATAAAAAGAAAATTGGTCGTATCAATACAATCTTGCATTTAGATAAGCACTTTATTTGGGCTGCAGCTTCAGCTATTGTTGAATTAACCAACGACATTTTATATTTTGCTTATAGTATTGCAAATATTGCAAATCAATATATAGAGATAACAAAATAATGCGGAATTGCTTATTATCAATAATTCTGAACCTGAAAGAAACCTTTAAACAATAAGATATGCTTAGTTGTTATAACAATGGTTGTGGTTAACAATTCTCTTTGGATTTATGTTTATTAAAACTAATATCAGTTTACTTATTATTCCTATAAAGGAAATGATTTTTGCCACACACTCTAACTGTTTCACCCTATCTTAGCAACCCGATGTTGTTGACCTTTGATATTTCAAACTATGAATTCTGTTAAATCAAATAGTCTAAGTTTGAAATATCATAGGTTTAAACCATCTGGTTGCAAAGATATAGGGATTAAAAAATTTAATTTTGTGTCAAAAGCTCAATTTCTTTAGGTGACCTTGTAGATCAATAGTAATTGTAATTTTTTAAATAGATTGTTTTCTAATACCTACAAAATGTATATTGAATTTATTCTGTAAAGGAACTGAGTTTTTGCCACAAAATTAAATATTCTATTTCCTTTATCTCTGCATCCGCGGATAGTTTAAACCTTGGAGATTTCAAACTTAGATTGTTTGATCTAACAGAATCTATAGTTTAAAATATCAAAGGTAACCGACATTGGGTTGAAAAGATAAAGGGGTTGGAAAATCTGAGTTTGTGGCAAAAACTCAATTCCTTTCCTGTAATAAATTACAGTTCTTCTTTGCGTTTAAATGAATATATATATATAAACAGTGAGTAGTTCCTTGATAGTTTAATGGTGAACCAGAAAAATATCTCAATGAAAGAGATTAAACTGAATCCAAGGAACAAAGAGAAGAAACCTCCAACAGTTGACAAGAACCCATAGAATGTTGATCGTATACCTCGTTCATATTCTTTAAAATAAGGATTTATTAAGGTTTGCTTCAAGGGGTTTCCGAACATTAATCACAATTCTTATATGACAAAGATAGAACAAGAAATATGAAAATGTACAATTAAGCACTTAGTAATATGAAACATATTAATATAATTTAAGATATATATTAACCATAACCCAGCTGCTGTGACTGCGTCTAAAATGTTACAAGATCAGAGAGTCCAAGGCATTTTTTAGAGCATCCTTTGAAATATTGGATAATGTATTCATAATAAAGGGAAAATGTAAAGACATAGAGGCATATTCAAATTGAATTTTTCTAACTAAATTTGTAGTGGTATGGATTCATAGTTGTTTAGAAGTTAATAAACTTCACATGAAGGAATTTAAGCTAAGTCGAGAAATAAGCACTGCAGTCACATGATACTGCAGACCTACCCAGCTTAGTTTCCTCTCCGAGTCTTCATATCTTATACTTCTTGGTGTGCTCTGTCAAGTACATAATGGACAGTGGTCATGTGTTTAAAACTTTTTAATATTACCAAGAACTGTGGGATTTGAGAAGAATATGTTGACAACAGCAATATCCTCAATCATTGCATCATAAATCAGAGAACTCTTGTTCTAAAAATATTGTGATTAGCTAATGTGCATGGTAGGGGGATAAGTTGTGGAATTGTTAAACTTTAAAAATTCTTCAGGGTTTTTAATTTAGAGTAAAATGAGATTTATAAAGGCAACGCAGAATGCATCCCCTTCAAAGAGTCTGGTGAAGGCAGTAGGCAGTGCACACTGCCTCTTTGCTTAACAATACTCTCCTTTTCTTCTGGTTTACTATGACTCAGGTTCAGATTACACTGGGTTATGCACCATCAACCAGATTTAGACTTGACATAGGTTGCAGGATGGGGTTCACTATGACTTAGGTTCAGATTTCACTGGGTATTGTACCATCAACCAGATTTGAACTTGACATAGGTTGCAGGATAGGGTTCACAAGGTTGTTATGAGAACTTTACAGGATTTTTCAGTCATTTGTGATTAAACATGAAACTCCAATGTGTACTAAATTAAGGGACGCAAAGTTTCAATATAATTTGGGGATGATGTGCGATTAAAATGAATGAATAATCCCTTTAAAAGGTACGTTTCACATCGCTGTGGGTAATGTTAATGTTATTAATCCAAATTACAAAATTATTATGGCTGAACCCATTCAAAAATATTCACTTGATCCAACCTAATACCTGAATTAGATTTGTAAAGAGTTCACTCTCCATCATTTTATCCGAGTTATATCTGGTTCTCAACTGAGAAGAGGTTTGATTTAAGGGAACAACTTGGTTTTTAGTTTTATAAATCATATTGGCAGACTCAGTCCAGCCGGCAAATATAGCACCTTGCCTGGTGGAACACAGAGGACTTAAGTTGAAGTTTCTAGAGTCACATCCCCTAAATTTTAAGTATTAAATTATATTCAAAGTAGTTACCAGCAAGAAGGAGAATTAAGTTAAAGTATTCAAAGTATTGAGAAACAATAAATTAAGAATTATGTTAGACCAAAAGTGTCCCTTCATCATTGTTAAATCCAAATATTTACTTTATAAAATTATTTTGAGGTTTTGTTCCTCACTGAAAAGTCCAGTTCATTTGACAGAGGATGTCTAATATTCATAAGCTTGACCAAATTGTGTACAGTAAACATACAACCTATAGACTAGTGTTTCCAGTATAATGGGGAAATCATTTCGAAAAATTATTGCATTTTTGGCAATACAAATTTTTTTGCTGAAATTTTAACAATTTTCCAATTCTGTTTGTAGAAAAAGATGCAAATTTTCAGAATTTGTCTACGAAATTCCGCATCGTTTTTGATTCCTTTCGCAAAAAAATGCTAAATTCATGAAAAAGTTTGCAAAATATGAAAAAAAAATTGTGAAAGTTTTTGTGTGCTGGAAACCCTACTATAGACCCTTAACAAGTCAGCACGCTAAATAATCATCAATGTGCACTTGACACACAAGGTCTGTGTTATAACAATTTTGTTGTCAGGAAAAAGCTGCTTTGAATTAATTTAATTCTTTTAATTGAATATTGATAAATCTAAAAGGAATGACATTGATGAAATAAAAAACAGATTCTATATTTCATTCATTCATCCTGAAATAACATAAACATGAAAGATACGTCAGTTTTAATCATAGATAAATAAATAAACATAGATAGCTTATGTACGCAAAATTACCAAGAATTGTACAGTCCGCGAACTCATACTTCTAGGGGTCAAAGTGTACTTCAATGATAAGCGGGGTGATTTGGTGTTTTAATGGATTTCATAATTATTAAACCATTCAGAAGTGAATTCATATTGACGAGAAATAAAGAATGACATAAGAAGGACGAAACTAACTTAAATTTCTCTCTACAGAACTCATGTACAAGGTACACCACAAGTACTCAATGACATAATAACAGCCAATGTTCACAACCGACCTAGTTAATCTATATAATAGGAAAATCTTTAAAACATCTCTGTACATTTATATCTTTCAAGATGAAAAATGTCGTCTTACGCGCAATCTATCTTTATCTATGGTTTTAATTCCGTATGCTAATAAAATTAATCTTCAATTGTAAATACTCATTATTAAATTATCATTACAAAAAAATCAAAATTATGGGTCATAACCTTCTTTTAAATTACAAAAATTTTGCTTTAAACCTGAATGGAGAAGAAGTATGACTACTGGTATAGGTAATTGAGGAGCAGTCAGGGGCACAATTACAGGATTCAGTAACCTCAACTTTCTCCATCTGTTTTTGGAACATAAACGCAGTCCAGGGATCACATATACTTGATTCATCCCCTTTAAACACAATATAGTTAGTCAGTTAAAAAATCAAAAACATTGTGTTAATACCTTTTGGTAAGAACCATGGGACACATCCAAGCTCAGATTCAACCTGGAGTATCTTACACTCCATATCACAGTTAATAAATGAGTAGGTTTTATAAAGAGTTAGATGTCTTTCATCAGGGAAAAAACATTCTCTCTTTTCAGGTGAAATTGATTTTATATTATCATCTGCTGATATTATGTATGATGAAAGCTGGACAAAATGCTCTCTACCAGGAGATAAAACCTTACTCTTCATTTGCATCATTGGGAATTCCATTGACGATCCAACATACAATTGGAATGCATCATAGTCTTCATAAACAGTCCCAAAGTCAACATTTCCAATGCTTTTATCAATGGTTAAACGCAAACCATTATTTTTCCCAACTTTTGGATGTATTTTTTGTTGTTGTTCTACAGTATTTGTTTTATCCATTTCATTTACTAGTGTTGTATATTTACTTTCTCTTAGTATATTCTGTACATTAGCTCCACAACATATTCCATAGTCTGTGATGACAGTTCTAAAAATACTGCTACAGTTTACCTCTTTTCCAAGTATTTCACATCTTTTTAACAGATATTTAACATTTTGTAGATCAGGAATATCAAAACAAGGTTGGGAAACATATCCCAATAATTTAAAAATCTTACGAAAAGTTTCAAAGTCCAAGGATTTCATATATTGTTTTATGGGTTCAATAAGTTTGCCTTGAATTTTTTTCAGATCTTCACTTCGCTTGGGATTGATAAATATATCCAAGATTGGTAAGTCAACCACTGGTCCAGATGCTACAGACTGTGGTTCCTCTGAGCATATGGGTTCAGGTTCTAACATTCCTACAGATCTAGTTACTGGGGGTATTGGATTGTATGGCCACGCATATAAAGGCTTGCCTAAAAGAATGTACGTAAACATGATGCTAATACATGTCAACAAATATTTGTTCAGTTATATGGACATACCTGTTTCTAGGGCATAGAGTGTGTACATTGGATCATTTGTACAGTTACTGTAATTTATCTTACGTCTTTTATGACAATTTTGTTTAGTTGAATCTGAGGTCCACAAGAATCCTTCACATTGCTGAAAATTTCAATGTTTATTTAAAAATTTTGTTATGACTAAATATTCTTTACCGGATGTACATCACAAACAAGTTTACATTCTTCAACACTAAATCCAATGTATGAATCTAGTCCCTGAATTATCAATTATGAATTAATTACGTATGTTTTACCTGACCATCAAATGCTAAGACAGGATATTATGTGTGGGGGGAAGGGGTTAAGTTATCTTTAATATAATGGATATTGGCATGTAAGGGGGAAACTATTTCATCTTAAATATTAAATCCTTTTTGCACTAGCAAAATATTATACATGAGCGAATAAAAAGCAACATTTAATATTGAAACAAAATTGAAAAAATCAAAACTTTTTTAGCAAATCAAAACAATTTAGACCATTAACAATTAACAAAACATCAGGTGATTATGCAATTTAATAACAGTTATTTGATTATTAGTCAAAATAAAATTTGACTAATAGATACAGAACCTGAGGAATGTCCAAAGCTCCTCCATTCCCACTCCAGCAGTTAGTGTTCGTTTTCTTAAGTATTTTTACATTTAGTTCTTTTGATTGGCCTTTTTGCATAAATTGTGCTTTAATGTTCATTTCTGGCTTTCCTAGTGGAATAAAAACATAAAATTGGCAAGGAAGACATTCATTGCTTTGATGACAAATTTAATTACACACTGAGAACATTTTTGAATATTTGGTCTTAACTGACAAGCACTGAAAATAATGCCATCAAAGTTATCATATTTAATTACAATACACTTGTTAACAGAAATATTGAAAACACATAACCCTGAATTATTTAAATGCTAAATAAAATTTTTAAGAATTATTGTAAATTCTAAATAAAACGTTTTTCTTATAATAATCTTACATTTATATAACTGTACATTCCCGTGTATTTCTGCTTTGTCTTGATCCAGTAGAGTTTTACTGGGCAACCAGACCCTAGAGTAGTTTTTAATCATTACAACATGTGGATTGTGGACATCAATATTTGAACATCTCAAAAACAATACACCCAATATTAAAACAAGTGTTCCCGAAAAATAAGCGCTTTTGATCACTACTAATTAATCTTCTATCTGTTGCGTCTATAAGGAGAAAATTGTTAAAAACGACTCATACCGTAGCATCCATACAAACTCAGCAAGTTGCAACATTCAACTCGGATCGTAAAAAAATCAATTTTATTCCAAAAATTATTCAGTTATTATAACCAATAGTCATCGATAATTTTTCGACGTATTTTTTATGATCTGATAGTTACTTTTGAAAATATTTATTCCTGTTTCGAGGATTTTTGATAATGAAGCATGGCATTTTCATATTTTCCAGGAATGTTCGAAAATCCAGCGCCAGCGAAATATATAGTTTAAAAATACAAAATTAAAAATATTATGAAATATTAACTAAATATGAATGCGTCGAAAAATAATCGATGACTATTGATTGTAATATCTGAACGACTTGTTTGGAATTAAATTGATTATTTTACGATCCGAGTTGAATGTTGCAAATTTATGAATTTATATGGAAGCTGCTTGTTCAGCTTGAGTCGTTTTTAATAATTTTCTCCTTATAGACGCAACAGAGAGAAGTAAGATTAGTGGCCATTAAAAGATCTTATTTTTCGCGGTAAGCCTATACCCACTTTCATTTTTCGCGAACACTCCCTTTAAAGAACAAAAGATTAGATAACGATCAAAAATAAAACACCTAAACTCAGATTTTCTATATCTTTGCAACCTAAGAATAAAATCTTTTGATATATCATACTCCAAATTGTGCTAGATCTACTAGTCAAAGTTTGAAATTTCAAAGGTAAACATCATCTGGTTGCCAAGATATAGGTATTAGAAAATCTAAGTTTGCTGCATAACTCAGTTTCTTTAAAAATCTATAAAAAAGCAAAAAAGTCCAAGATGACATTTTGCTACAAACCTTGGTCATATTGTAATCTTGACACTTTCATAATATTTTCATAATATTTACAACTTTCAACCCATTTTTTATATTTTCATCCTACATTCAAAAATTCAAAATACTTACTTATAAATGAGTTGACAGTAACCGTTTCATTAAAAGTATAACACTCAACGTTACTAGGTTTATATATAACACTCTGGCAACTAGGATCTCTATTACAGTGAGCAGCACACTCGAAATAAGACTCGATGTACTTGGTGGATTTAGAAGTGGGTATGATGCAGGAGGACCTGCAACATTATTTTTATACGTACAATTACAGGGGCAACTTTCTCAGTTTGTTAAAAAAGATAAATAGTTAAGGAATGGCGTTTTCTCAAATATGGAGCATAGATACTTTTATTTGAAATGAAAGAGTATACAAAAAGCCATATTTTAGTTAAATGATTTTTTTACTAGTGAGTAGTAAGTTGTAATGTAAGACCTGCTTTAAACATAAGTCTACCCCAGAAGGGTGCAGTTTATCAAATGTTTATGTTAGCAATTCTTGTTAACTCAATCTAAATCTATTCCTCTGAAGAAAAAAAAGCTTATGAACAATAACTTACTCTTGAAGTTTAGCTTCACAAGCAAAAGCATTTCTCCTTGCCATATCTGTTTGACTGTTTTCAATATTCTGTGATAGGAATACATTTACCAGATCCTTCACACTAGACATAAATTAAAGTTGGTTTAGATTAATTACTAGCAAGAATAATAGTTTTGCACCTCATGGACGTTGCAGTGATTTTGTATTCCTCAGCATTAAACTTGGTAAACAGTCCGGTAAAATTATCCGCTGAAATCAGGGATCATGAAAATTATTCACAAAGTGATGAAGTTTTTACACAGTTTAACCCAGAAGACATCGAAAGAATTTATTAAATAATTTTCTAAACCTACTGATAATGGAATGCTGCAGATATTTAATTTTTTAATTAAATAATTATATGGGCCTTTTTAAAACTATTCCTGCATATTCCATGGCCATTTATTTATTTTTAAAATTATTTAAAATAGTATACAACCTATTATCTACAATACAACCTATATTGAAAATAAAAATAAAAAATTCTTAAAAATTCTTCTTTTGATCTGGTCTCAAGAATATACTCTAACTTTCTCTTTTAAGAAAAAAAACTATTTTAACCTGAAGCACTTATATTATCCTTTGCTAACCAGAGGGAGAACTCCTTTAATAAAACTTGCTCCAGTAGGTCTGTGCGTAATCCAGGACTGCAGATGGTCACTAATCAATCTTTCATTATTTGATGTAAGGCAGTGCCTGTCTAGGTATGGTAGTTGAACTGTAAGTGCAGTTAGAGATGGGCACCATTTTTGTGAACACATAAATTTTTTCAAAACAAACAAAAATTTGTTGAAAAAAATCTTTAACTATAATTTGCATTTAAGGGAGCACTCAGAACCTTAATAAAATATTTCTAAATTATTTGTTTCAGCAAACTTTTATTTCAAATCGTCCTTTTTTACTAAATGTACAAAATTTTGAAAAAAAAACTATCATTCTTTCACTGGACAAAAAAATTTCAAACAAATTTTAAAAAACGATAGTTTTTTTAAAATATTTTTTCAAATGAACTTTTGAAAAAAACAATTATTTTTTACTGATTGAACAATCAAAAAAAACAATTTTGTTGAACAAACAATCTTACTGAACAAACGATTCAATTGAACAATCAATTAGTTACAAAACGAACGAAATAGATGAAAATGAACGATATATTTCTGAAAACTATGGAATTTAAATTTTTCGAAAGGACTGAAGAAAAAACTAACAAAATAGGGTGTTAAGAAACTAATTTTAAAAAACCACATTATTGCTACATAAGACCACAAACTCTCTCTATAAAATACATGACTGGATAATTCTAGGAGTCTTTTTAAAGGGCTGGATTTAAAAAATTGAATATTGTCAGCAAACCTCCTGAAATTTCCAGCCTTGGGATTTTGGAAGAACGAATTTTGGGTCTTTAGTGTCAATTGTAGATTGAAAAAAAGATAATTTTGTTAATTTCAATTCTGATATCTAATTTTTCACCAATGCACTGCACTATCAGTTCAACTAGCATGCCATTTCTTTAATAATATATTAAGAACACTAATTAAACTTTCATTATTTAATAAACTTAATTTGGTATTATACTTGATAAAACCTCCATAAAGATAATTTTCACATGAAAAAGTATATTTTGTTGTTTTTACCAAACAAAATCAAACAATATTACATCCAATCATTAAGGAGTGACCAAAATAGATTTTAATTTGTCTTTTTATATATCTTATTACTTTTTTACCAATGTTACCCACCCGTGATTTCCCCAACAGTGCCATAGTTTAAGTCAATTAAATTCCTTTATGACAATTAAGTAAAATATCAAAGTGTTTGTGAAAAAATAGCAAACTAATATTTGGAAATTAAAATCTGGATTTGCTTACAAACCCTTTAATATGCTCTTAATGTTTGTAGACAAATCGGTTTTGGGAACCCTAGGTAAAGTAATGTAACCAGATCTTAAAAGCTCGGTGTCTGTCAGAGAGCTCTGGCTTTCTTCGATTCATTAGTTTCAACCATTATTTGTTCTTTCTTATACTGTAACTGCATTTTTACCATACTCTGTATACTTATTTACATCAGTTTTAGGCTTAATGTTTCCCTTTACTTCGACCACTTTTAAATATATAAAATTTCTTATTTTACTTTTCATTTCTGAAGTTGCATGGGCGATCTTGTAAAATAACCATGAAATGATGCGTAAAATTAAGAATACATTACATAAAATAATAAACTTTAAGTGTTAAGGGTGCAAAAGTTTATTTACACCTGCAGGGTATTCAATCTTTTCAATAGGGTAGTTAGCATTGCTAAGAGTAGTTATAGTCGGGTTGTTTTGCCAGTCCTTGTATGCTTCTACAGATAGATAGATAGATATCCCTGAAAAATGTTAGATGTTTGATATTTAAAGATAATGAATTTCATGATAAGTTGGCAAATCATTCTAAAGCTTAAGAGGTCTCCAGAGCTGGAAGCTTTATAAATGAATACCTTTAATCCAGGTCGCTTGATCTTATATCTAATTTAGACACTTTTGATTTCCTGGTTTGTCCGCTCTTATTAACTCTTTTTCTCTCCCTGCCAGTTTCCGACCGATGAGAGTTCACTCATTAAATGGCGCGCAAAATGTCAAACTACCCAGAGTCTCTGCTTGGTTATATATAGACTTTTGGGGATACTAACTTAAGATTGATTAAATTTTGAGTTTGTCAAAATAAGAAGATAAAAAAAAATGATCTTAATCTCCAAAATTCGAAATTTTTCAATTCAGCTTTTGAACAGATTGTAGCTTTCGTGCCAATTGTAGGTTTCAGACAATTTTTAAAAATTAAAATGCTGATTGATTTTTTTATAAGACTTCTATTTTTATACAAAACTTTTTTTTTTTAATCTGAAAGATTACTGAACAGGAACATAAACATTATTACCTCATAATAAATTAACAAGAACTGACTGCTCGCCATCGACTTTGTAGACAGCTGGGTGGCTTGGATGCGTTAATGAATCGACTTGTATAATGGTGGAAAAAATTTACCTGTAAAACAGAATACAATTACTCCCCAGATGATTCTATCAACCAGAGGCTGTTTAGGAAATACATATCTAACACCATGAGCTGTAGCATTCTCCCCATAACCCTCCATAGTTCGCACAACCGCGCTCTTACTCATTTTATCCTTAAAATAGTATCTTGCCTAACCCCAGATACAGTAAGTCCAAACCAAAATGGAAATTTTAGGATGCCTTAATTAAAGTCAATAAATGGCACATACTGAGTTAAAAAAGAAAAGATTGAAAGTGAGTTTTGCTCTTGATAAGGGTGTTTCCTGCACTAGGTAATTGTATAGATATGTTGATGTATTTGCTCTTGATAATGTTGTTTCCTGCACTTATAGGTAATTGTATAGATATGTTGATGTATTTGCTCTTGATAATGTTATTTCCTGCACTTATAGGTAATTGTATAGATATGTTGATGTATTTGCTCTTGATAATGTTGTTTCCTGCACTACGTAATTGTATAGATATGTTGATGTATTTGCTCTTGATAATGTTGTTTCCTGTACTAGGTAATTGTATAGATATGTTGATGTATTTGCTCTTGATAATGTTATTTCCTGAACTAGGTAATTGTATAGATATGTTGATGTATTTGCTCTTGATAATGTTGTTTCCTGTACTAGGTAATTGTATTCTAATAATTTTAAATCTGACGATAAATAACAAAAATAACAAAAAAAAGCAGATTCTCAGAAAAATTAAAATCATTAAAAACTTTGACCCCAAGGGATTTAACCCCCAAGGGATTTAACCCCAAAGGGATTTAACCCCCACGGGATTTAATGATTAACCCATGTAAATGTCATATATGACATTACGTTGTAAAGGAATTGAGTCTTTGCCACAAACTCAAATTTTCTAATCTCTATATCAATGAAAACTGATTTTGGTGACTTTTGATATTTCAAACTAAGATAATTTGATGCAACAAAATTCATAGTTTGAAATATCTAAATTCTTCGACATTCGGTTGCAGAGATAAAGGAATTAGAATATCAGAGTTTGTGTCAAAGACTCAACTCCTTTGCCTGTTTTAACATGAGCCTGCATAAATTAGTTTTTAGAAGAGCGGGATTCAAGGAAAATTGTTGCATACAATAAAACTGTTTTTAATAAAGGAATATATGTTTTCTGTTCAACGTTAGCAATGATTTTAACTTCTGGTATGTCTTGAGTGTGAAGAAAGTAAGCCTTACCACCAGGGGTCAGTTTGAACAAATAGTATCATTAATATCTTCTTGTAATTGCTCGCCTTACCACCAGGGGTCAGTTTGAACAAATAGTATCATTAATATCTTCTTGTAATTGCTCAGTGTGACATGTTTTTCCAAATAGAGCTGGACCTTCTTTTCCATGTAGAACTAGGATAAGTCCTCAGCATTACTTGTGCCCATTAGATTTCATGCAGTTTTTCACCCCCTTCAGCATAATTTATATTCCCTTGGTTGGAAACATCCTCCTGTCTCTAAATATGAATCTGAAGAAAAAGTTACATGTACTGCACAGTGTACAACCAGGGGGACTGATGTTACATTTCTAACAGTGTTACAGTTTGTTTCTATTTATTTATCTAATTAATACTTTGTGATGACAATGAACTTTTACAAAAGAACTTTTCCCATGTCTATTGTAATCCAAGTCAAAAATATTGAGTCTAAAAAATTTGATTGATGGATATTTGATATTCATAAAATCATCAATAAGAAAAAGAAAATAATATTTTGATTACATTTGCTCCATCAAGCTGTGTGTAATAAAACATATTGTTCTGTAATTGAGGACTGAGCTGTCAATTTAAATATGTATGGTTTCTTTTGTAAATCATATGCAGGGGATATTAGTTCCAAATCTGCAAAGTAATCTTTTTCAAGAGTATATATTTTTAAATCCGAGACGAGCAGAACAAAACTACAACATATATTTATAAAAATGGCTAAAACTATACATTGAAACAATGAATGTCAATTTTAAACCAATAATAAGGTGGGAGATTCAGTTTTTGATGATTCATGATTTTATTTTCGAACATATCCCTGTTGACGGAAAACAGCAACACGATAGACAAATCTGGGTAATAGGCCAGTTAGGATTCTGGTGGGGGATGTTGATTATCCCCAGACAATTCTTTCCCGATAGGCCGTACAAATACACACAACAGAGTAACCCCGTCTCAGAAATTCGATAACAAAATCTTTATTTCCTAAAAAATAACATAAATTATAGGTCATGTTTAATTGTACAATGTTATAATGAATGTTAATAGTAGAAAAAATCTTACGAATTATTTAAGGATAGAAGGGGTGACTTATTTGTTGATCAGTATTGAAATACGTTTTTTTAACTTCTGAAAAATTACAGTTGAATATTTAACGAAATTCACTTATGCTTCTTATGAAAATATTTTGCTTAACTTTAATGATTTCACAACAACGAAAATATTTTAAGCTCCGTCGGAGGAGGACAATGGAATTTGCGGGCTGAAAATTTGGTTTGGCTGTCTCCGACAGGAGATTCAAGTTGAAGACGACATTTTATAGAGGTTTTATAATTAATGGTTAACAATCCCTATTTTGATATATTTACCGGATTTCAGCTCATGACGCATTTTCGGAACATATCCTGGTTTTGAGACAATTATCGGAATTCATATCAATGTCAATTTTTCAGCATTTACGCACTACGTAACAAAACAAGATTTTTTGATAAGGTAAAAAATAAACAAAATAGAAAAAAACTTTTTTTAATTGAGAAATCAAGATATTATTATTATTTGTTCTTACAATACAGATTTAACAAGAGATGCGGGAAACTAATTGTTTAAAAATGCTTGAAAATAAAAAAATTTAATATAAAAAACTCCTTTTATAATTTTGATTAAAAAAAAAAGTTTAAAATTGGAAAATTTGTCCTCGTCATGTTAAATAAAATGTTGGTTATAGTTTTTTTATGACTTTTACTCTGGATATGGGCCGGGATCCCAAAAACCAAGTCTTTCAATTTGTGCCCATTTCTAACACTATAAATGGGCCAAGCGTTAGTTTTGGAACTAATGTCCCCTGATATGCATTGCATATGGAATATAACATACGCAAACATTTAAAGAGACTGTAAGCCTAATTTGAAGTAAACCATTTACAAAGTAACTATTTATATTAAGGTGTAGATGGTACCAGAGTCAATTGGGCAGGTTCCTCTTTAAATAAAAGGTAACTTGAAATTACGCTTACAATCCCTTTAATTGCTACGATTGTAAACTTTAACTTCATTTCATTGGCTGTAAAAGATTTCGCTAAATGTCCTGGAAAATAATTGGGAATCAGATTTAAAATTTGACCAGTTTTACATTTTTTAGTTTTTCTTAAGAATTCATTTCATTCCATTGAACTTCCAAAACAATACTTACTTGGTTCCCTTAGAAATTATTCCAGAAAAATGTTTTACTAAGAATGTTTAATATTTGTTAAGAAGGAATTGAGTTTTTGCCACAAACGCCTGATTTTCTAATTTCAATATCGTTACAACCTTTGATATTTCAAACTATGAATGCTGTTAGATCAAATAATGTAAGTTTGAAATCTAAGGTTTACATCATCAGGTTGCAAAGAAATAGGTATTATTAAAATGTTATTTGTGGCCAATTCCTTTTTATAAAGTGACTTACGTAGATTTGTTACTTTTACTTTTGTTATTTGAAAAAAATATATATTACCGTCAATAATTAGTTAATAATCTATCATGCATCAAAAAGGATTCATATTGGTAAATTATTATTATTAAGACTTACTTATATTATAACTTAGTCTATTTTATATTAATTAGTGATACTAAGAGATCAAAGATATTTGCTGAAAACTCTCATTTTCTAATTCCTAAATCTTTGCAACCCAATGTTATAGGACTTATATATATTTCAAACCAAGAATTCTCCGAGATCAAACAATCTAAGTTTGAAATATCAAAGATTTACACCATCAGGTTGCAAAAATATTGAGATTAGAAAATTTGATTTTACGACCAAGACTCAATTCCTTTTCATTTTACGGTTGAATTTAGTACAAAAAATGAAGATTTTTTTTCTTTTACCTTTTTTTCCATCATTTGGTAGGTTTCATCAACCATTACATTTAAAAGTGAGTTTAAAGATTAAATCAGAAAACAATCGCCTAACCAAGTTCTTTAGTAGATTATTCGTAGATTTACGGTCCCTTGTCGTTTCTGCAGTTAGCTGGGATTTCTCTCAAATCTCAATAAAACATTTATTCATTACTTAGACTTTAACTTTTAGGGGGCCTTGCCCCTCCCGAGGGCGGGGACCTTGTTTAGTACCGTCCCGTCTACTTTCTTGACGTCACCAGAAACCAATTCAACTGAGAATAATTTCAGCTCCTGTGTATGAATACTGAATAGACTGAAGGCCAATATAATACCATAAAGCCAGATGCGTACAAGAACATTTGTGTAGGGGAGGGGGCACTTTTTGCCCACCCTTGGAAACATTGTGCCCCCCTCCTTAAAACCACTTTTTTGAAAAAAATATTGATACAATTCGATAATATACACAGTACACACTTCCATATAACAAGTGTTAATAAATTATATGTGTAATTTTCTTCAGCGGTCTCATTAGACACTTCCTCTTAATAATGTGTTGTAAGCCAGGCGCACAACGGGGGGCCTCAGAACTGAACCGGCCTGAACGGGACGGTACTAAACAAGGTCCACGCCCTCGGCCTCAGAACTGAACCGGCCTGAACCGGCCTGAACGTCACAAATGACGCAAACAGAACTAAATAAAAAGGTAACTAGTGGCTGAATAACAAACATGTACTTAGAGTGTCTTAAAAAATTTTGTTTGTTTTTTTTGAAGCCCATGTTCATGTTTTTAAAATTTTCAGAATTAAGTCTATAAAGTAGTAGATTTTAGGGTCAAAATTAAAGACTAAAACTAGGTTACTCGAGAGAATGCCTTTTAAACTCCTTTTAACCCTTTTATGTGAATACGACACCCATTAATAAATATGTAAAGTAAAAACCTCAAATTGAAGGGTTATGTACAATTTAAAGATGTCCTATTGTTTCAATTGTGAAAATAGTTTCCAGCGAACGAAAACTTTCACGAAAACGATTGGGAATTTCGTTAAAAAAACTAATTATGCGACAATTTCGTGAAAATTCTACGAACGGAATGCTAAAAAACGCGAACAAATTTTCCCCCAAAATGCGAAGTTTTCGCGAAACGCTTTTCCCATTGCTTGAATCCCTAATTGCGAAGCTCCAATTTTAGAATTTTTTTAAGAAAGTTAGCAAAAAAATTTCCTTTAAAACCTCTGAATCCTGAGAGAGTTCTTCTATCCACGCAGTTACATCTATCACGCAAAAATCAAGCAGAATTTTGCCATCTACTTCTATACTGAAGAATGTATTAACAAAGGTGTTTAATTTCTATAAAAATGTAAATGTGTGGGCTATAATAAAGAATAAGTGAGGTAGTAAAACAGTAACACCAAAGGACAAAAGGTTGTGACACTTTGAAGTGATTCCTTTCTAAAAAAAATTATGAAAAATTTTCATCTCTGTGAACTCTGTGACCTTTGTGATCTGTGTGATCTGTGTGACCTCACACCTCAGATTGACACTTGGTGCCTTACATTGTAGAAAATCTTTCTCCTAGTTTTAAATGTTTGTACACTGGGGAAACCATTGCACATTGTGCATTGCTCACTTATAGAAAAAGGGGAATATTCCCCTCTCTTCGGTCAAATCCTGAAACCTGATGAAAATCCTGATTTAATGGCCTGTAAACGGGTTGGAAAGTAATGGCCTGTAAACGGGTTGGAAAGTAATGACCTGTAAACGGGTTGGAAAGTAATGACCTATAAACGGGTTGGAAAGTAATGTCCTGTAAACGGGTTGGAAAGTAATGACCTGTATACGGGTTGGAAAGTAATGACCTGTAAATGGGTTGGAAAGTAATGACCTGTAAACGGGTTGGAAAGTAATGACCTGTAAA